GATGTGCCATGCACCGAGGCTGGGAGGCTGGGATGTGCCATGCACCGAGGCTGGGAGGCTGGGATGTGCCATGCACCGAGGCTGGGAGGCTGGGATGTGCCATGCACCGAGGCTGGGAGGCTGGGATGTGCCATGCACCGAGGCTGGGAGGCTGGGATGTGCCATGCACCGAGGCTGGGAGGCTGGGATGTGCCATGCACCGAGGCTGGGAGGCTGGGATGTGCCATGCACCGAGGCTGGGAGGCTGGGATGTGCCATGCACCGAGGCTGGGAGGCTGGGATGTGCCATGCACCGAGGCTGGGAGGCTGGGATGTGCCATGCACCGAGGCTGGGAGGCTGGGATGTGCCATGCACCGAGGCTGGGAGGCTGGGATGTGCCATGCACCGAGGCTGGGAGGCTGGGATGTGCCATGCACCGAGGCTGGGAGGCTGGGATGTGCCATGCACCGAGGCTGGGAGGCTGGGATGTGCCATGCACCGAGGCTGGGAGGCTGGGATGTGCCATGCACCGAGGCTGGGAGGCTGGGATGTGCCATGCACCGAGGCTGGGAGGCTGGGATGTGCCATGCACCGAGGCTGGGAGGCTGGGATGTGCCATGCACCGAGGCTGGGAGGCTGGGATGTGCCATGCACCGAGGCTGGGAGGCTGGGATGTGCCATGCACCGAGGCTGGGAGGCTGGGATGTGCCATGCACCGAGGCTGGGAGGCTGGGATGTGCCATGCACCGAGGCTGGGAGGCTGGGATGTGCCATGCACCGAGGCTGGGAGGCTGGGATGTGCCATGCACCGAGGCTGGGAGGCTGGGATGTGCCATGCACCGAGGCTGGGAGGCTGGGATGTGCCATGCACCGAGGCTGGGAGGCTGGGATGTGCCATGCACCGAGGCTGGGAGGCTGGGATGTGCCATGCACCGAGGCTGGGAGGCTGGGATGTGCCATGCACCGAGGCTGGGAGGCTGGGATGTGCCATGCACCGAGGCTGGGAGGCTGGGATGTGCCATGCACCGAGGCTGGGAGGCTGGGATGTGCCATGCACCGAGGCTGGGAGGCTGGGATGTGCCATGCACCGAGGCTGGGAGGCTGGGATGTGCCATGCACCGAGGCTGGGAGGCTGGGATGTGCCATGCACCGAGGCTGGGAGGCTGGGATGTGCCATGCACCGAGGCTGGGAGGCTGGGATGTGCCATGCACCGAGGCTGGGAGGCTGGGATGTGCCATGCACCGAGGCTGGGAGGCTGGGATGTGCCATGCACCGAGGCTGGGAGGCTGGGATGTGCCATGCACCGAGGCTGGGAGGCTGGGATGTGCCATGCACCGAGGCTGGGAGGCTGGGATGTGCCATGCACCGAGGCTGGGAGGCTGGGATGTGCCATGCACCGAGGCTGGGAGGCTGGGATGTGCCATGCACCGAGGCTGGGAGGCTGGGATGTGCCATGCACCGAGGCTGGGAGGCTGGGATGTGCCATGCACCGAGGCTGGGAGGCTGGGATGTGCCATGCACCGAGGCTGGGAGGCTGGGATGTGCCATGCACCGAGGCTGGGAGGCTGGGATGTGCCATGCACCGAGGCTGGGAGGCTGGGATGTGCCATGCACCGAGGCTGGGAGGCTGGGATGTGCCATGCACCGAGGCTGGGAGGCTGGGATGTGCCATGCACCGAGGCTGGGAGGCTGGGATGTGCCATGCACCGAGGCTGGGAGGCTGGGATGTGCCATGCACCGAGGCTGGGAGGCTGGGATGTGCCATGCACCGAGGCTGGGAGGCTGGGATGTGCCATGCACCGAGGCTGGGAGGCTGGGATGTGCCATGCACCGAGGCTGGGAGGCTGGGATGTGCCATGCACCGAGGCTGGGAGGCTGGGATGTGCCATGCACCGAGGCTGGGAGGCTGGGATGTGCCATGCACCGAGGCTGGGAGGCTGGGATGTGCCATGCACCGAGGCTGGGAGGCTGGGATGTGCCATGCACCGAGGCTGGGAGGCTGGGATGTGCCATGCACCGAGGCTGGGAGGCTGGGATGTGCCATGCACCGAGGCTGGGAGGCTGGGATGTGCCATGCACCGAGGCTGGGAGGCTGGGATGTGCCATGCACCGAGGCTGGGAGGCTGGGATGTGCCATGCACCGAGGCTGGGAGGCTGGGATGTGCCATGCACCGAGGCTGGGAGGCTGGGATGTGCCATGCACCGAGGCTGGGAGGCTGGGATGTGCCATGCACCGAGGCTGGGAGGCTGGGATGTGCCATGCACCGAGGCTGGGAGGCTGGGATGTGCCATGCACCGAGGCTGGGAGGCTGGGATGTGCCATGCACCGAGGCTGGGAGGCTGGGATGTGCCATGCACCGAGGCTGGGAGGCTGGGATGTGCCATGCACCGAGGCTGGGAGGCTGGGATGTGCCATGCACCGAGGCTGGGAGGCTGGGATGTGCCATGCACCGAGGCTGGGAGGCTGGGATGTGCCATGCACCGAGGCTGGGAGGCTGGGATGTGCCATGCACCGAGGCTGGGAGGCTGGGATGTGCCATGCACCGAGGCTGGGAGGCTGGGATGTGCCATGCACCGAGGCTGGGAGGCTGGGATGTGCCATGCACCGAGGCTGGGAGGCTGGGATGTGCCATGCACCGAGGCTGGGAGGCTGGGATGTGCCATGCACCGAGGCTGGGAGGCTGGGATGTGCCATGCACCGAGGCTGGGAGGCTGGGATGTGCCATGCACCGAGGCTGGGAGGCTGGGATGTGCCATGCACCGAGGCTGGGAGGCTGGGATGTGCCATGCACCGAGGCTGGGAGGCTGGGATGTGCCATGCACCGAGGCTGGGAGGCTGGGATGTGCCATGCACCGAGGCTGGGAGGCTGGGATGTGCCATGCACCGAGGCTGGGAGGCTGGGATGTGCCATGCACCGAGGCTGGGAGGCTGGGATGTGCCATGCACCGAGGCTGGGAGGCTGGGATGTGCCATGCACCGAGGCTGGGAGGCTGGGATGTGCCATGCACCGAGGCTGGGAGGCTGGGATGTGCCATGCACCGAGGCTGGGAGGCTGGGATGTGCCATGCACCGAGGCTGGGAGGCTGGGATGTGCCATGCACCGAGGCTGGGAGGCTGGGATGTGCCATGCACCGAGGCTGGGAGGCTGGGATGTGCCATGCACCGAGGCTGGGAGGCTGGGATGTGCCATGCACCGAGGCTGGGAGGCTGGGATGTGCCATGCACCGAGGCTGGGAGGCTGGGATGTGCCATGCACCGAGGCTGGGAGGCTGGGATGTGCCATGCACCGAGGCTGGGAGGCTGGGATGTGCCATGCACCGAGGCTGGGAGGCTGGGATGTGCCATGCACCGAGGCTGGGAGGCTGGGATGTGCCATGCACCGAGGCTGGGAGGCTGGGATGTGCCATGCACCAAGGCTGGGAGGCTGGGATGTGCCATGCACCGAGGCTGGGAGGCTGGGATGTGCCATGCACCGAGGCTGGGAGGCTGGGATGTGCCATGCACCGAGGCTGGGAGGCTGGGATGTGCCATGCACCGAGGCTGGGAGGCTGGGATGTGCCATGCACCGAGGCTGGGAGGCTGGGATGTGCCATGCACCGAGGCTGGGAGGCTGGGATGTGCCATGCACCGAGGCTGGGAGGCTGGGATGTGCCATGCACCGAGGCTGGGAGGCTGGGATGTGCCATGCACCGAGGCTGGGAGGCTGGGATGTGCCATGCACCGAGGCTGGGAGGCTGGGATGTGCCATGCACCGAGGCTGGGAGGCTGGGATGTGCCATGCACCGAGGCTGGGAGGCTGGGATGTGCCATGCACCGAGGCTGGGAGGCTGGGATGTGCCATGCACCGAGGCTGGGAGGCTGGGATGTGCCATGCACCGAGGCTGGGAGGCTGGGATGTGCCATGCACCGAGGCTGGGAGGCTGGGATGTGCCATGCACCGAGGCTGGGAGGCTGGGATGTGCCATGCACCGAGGCTGGGAGGCTGGGATGTGCCATGCACCGAGGCTGGGAGGCTGGGATGTGCCATGCACCGAGGTGGCCTGTGGCTGAGGTGGAGAGGGAAGCGTGGCTGAGCGCATTCATGGAAGCATCAGTGTGTGTGTTGAGAATAGGGGTGAGGCCGTGGGTGTGGTGGGAGAGAAGGAGGGGGGGAAGGTGGGAAGGCGCCTGCAGGTGAGTCGCCTCCCCCCATCCTCCCTCTGCCGCCTCTTGCTCCCCCATCTCCCTTGCCATCCTTCCCCACTCGCGCTTCGCTCCCTCTCGCACTCACCCATCTGCTGCACGCGCCTCCCGTCCCACCGTTCCCTTCCCCCCTGCTCCACCATGCACTCACTCATGATGCTGCTGCACTTGCTGAAACTCCCCACCCCCCTCCCCCCCTCTCTCCCTCGGTCGGCCGCCCTCCACCCATGTCATTCCCCTCCTCCCCCCCTCTCTCCCTCGGTCGGCCCCCCTCCACCCATGTCATTCCCCTCCTCTCCCATCGTCCCATCCTCACCATTCTCTCCCATCGTCCCATCCTCACCATTCTCTCCCATCGTCCCATCCTCACCATTCTCTCCCAACACCCTTCCCCCAACCTCCCCCTCCCCCCACCCTCCCTTCACCCTCCCCCCACCCTCGTTCCATCCCTCGCTAGGTGGCCTGTCTAGAGGAGCTGGAGCGCACCCCCCATGCTAGAGGACCTAGAGGACCCTAGAGGAGCTAGAGAAGCTGTCTCGGTCTCCCTGCTGTCCCGCCATGCCGTCCGCCTTCTCTCCCTTCTTCTCACCCTCACCATTATCTTAAAGTTAAAGCGACGGTGCACATTTGCCACCCAAAACCCAGAACCCTGGCGAACTGCTACTGCGGATGGAAAGTGTCCGCACGAAATCCTGGTTTTCGCCAGCCAGCACTTTCGCGCTGGCAAGCCTGGTTCAAAAAAAAAACTTCTGAACCCAACACTGCCAAAAGTTGCCCGTCGCTTTAACCCACCCTCACCCCACCCCTGCCCCACCCTCCCACCCTCACCCCGCCAGGCGGCTTACCTAGAGGAGCTGGAGCGCACCGTTGCCCTGCTGGCGTTTGAGGACCCCGCCACATCAGCACCTGCCACGCTGGCAGAGCTGCTGGACGTGAGTCAGCGCGACAAGGCGGCCGCTGAGCTCAATGCCGCCATCCTGGCGAGCCAGGGCCATGAGAAAGGTAAGGGGAGAAGAGGGGTGGTGAGAGGGAGAAGGTGAGAATGGCCACGAGAACAGTGCACGAGGAGGGACAGGGAAGAGGGAAGGATCCAGGGCTACGAGAAAGGTGCACACGGGATGGGGCTGAGGTAGGGGGAAGGGGAAGAGGTTGGGGTTGGGGGAGAGACAGGTGAGTGCGGGGAAATGTGAGAGGGGTGAGGAAGGTGAGGGGCAGAAGAAATATGTGAGGAGAGGTGTGGGAACGTGAGAAGAGGTGGGTTAAGGTAAAAAGAGGTTAAGAGAGGTGAGGAGAGGTGAGGATAGGTGAGGAGAGCTGATAACGTGAACAGCAAGGTATGGGGAGAACCGGTGGTGAGAGGTGAGTAGAAAGATGGGACGAGATGGAGAAATGCTAGTGGAACGGAGGGGCTGGTAGGCCAAGCAAGGCCAGGTTGAGCCCTTAAAGCTGCGGTCTACATACGAAAATGTATTTTCGGGGGGTATTTTGGGCGCACACCCTAGGACGCATGCTGATTGGGGAACGAAATGACTCTTTTCCAGAAATGAGCGCGCGAATGTTTCAAACAGAACTGGCGAATCCCGCCAGTTTCGTGAAAGGTTCGGTTGGGGGGTAAATATTTCGAGAGGATTGGCGATTTCGCCAACACGTGCAACCAATCCGAGTTGGGGAGCAGAATGGCGCGAAATTTAGAAGCCAATCCTGTTTCGCCCAATTTTCAGAGGAAAGGTTGTGCTCTCAGGGTGCAGTAACTCCACCTCGCCACTCAAGGTTGGAGCGAAGCTCAGTGCAACCGTGTTTCAAGTGATAAACCTAGGCCTCCCGCAGGAGGTATGTAGGCGACAGCTTTAAAGGGGTCAGCAATGCCTTTTAAGGGTCACAGAATGGGATGGTGTTCTGCTCTCCGCTCAGGCTATCAACTGCACTCTACCTTTTTTCCCCCGCTTCCCCCCACTCCCCTCCTTTCGTTCTTTCCTTCCCCCTTTTCCCCTCCTTCCCCTTCCCCTCCTTTCCCCCTTCACTTGTTTGCCCCCTTACCCTCCACCCCCCCTCTCATCACCCCCATCGCCTCTCACTGCCGCAGATCCGAAGCTACCGAGTGTGCTGAGGATGCTGCTGTGGCTGCAGGGGCAGCTGGATGGCAGAGTGGCATACCCCAAAGTCACCGACCTCACCTCAGCGCTCCTGCACGACCCGCCCTCGCTCTAATCTCGTCTCCCCTGTGCTCTTTCCTCAGTGCACAGCGCTGCCCGACCCGATGTGCTTGCTGTATATAGTCGTGATTTGTCAGTAGGGCACGATGTAGTGTAGGGGGTCTCCCTCCCTCTATCCAGATAAAGAGCAAGTTACAACACATTGGCTTGCCGGCGGACCATCACCGCATCATGATTGTATCATGATTGCATCTGATTATATCAGGTCGAGCCATCTGCACCCCATATGGGTGACTGCTCACGTACGGTATCAAACGGTATTGTGTCAGTCACGTCACATCATGTCAAACTGTATGTTTGTCTTATCTCTAGGCTATAGTGGGTTAGCCTACAAGGGGTACAACACTTTAGGGTTAGGTACTTGTACTCATGCATGCTACCTAGTCCACCATTTCTGCCTGCTTATTCTAACACATCACCCCTTCCAGGATTGGTTTCTCTTGCAGAATTTGAAAGGTATTGCCAATCCATGATACAACGGAGGTGTGAGTGAGCAGCATTAGGGTGTCGTAATGGAAGCAGTGGAGGAACAATTGGTGTAGTCAAACTGGGGGGCGTTTTTCTAACACAATTTATTTCTCTAAAGAGGATCTTTGCAAAGTGGTAAGGGAAAAGAATGTACTGTAGTGACAAGTTGTGAGATTGAAGCACAGATGAATGAGTTGGATGTTTTCATTCGTACATGCAGCGCAGACATCACGAGTGCTATGAGCATCGTAGGTGCTGCATTCCGGCGACTCGCAGTATAGGGGCTTCGCAAATGACTACGATTATTCCATGTTTGCAACGGTTGAGTGAGAGAGTTTTGAGGGACTAAATTCGTGTGACACGCGTACTCGCAGGCGTCCGCGCGCAAGCCACTAGAGGAGAAGCATTGAGAGATATCATCGCACGGTGGTTGCACATCTGCATGGAGCTATTTCGCTAGGGCCAGCGACTAGAGCTGCCACTCTGCGAATAGTAACGACATCGCAGTCCGCGTTGCGCGATAGCGACTCAGGTGGCACTTTAACGACATAGCAGGGGCTGGCACGTATCTTCGCGGCTGCATTCCGCCCACCCCGCCCTCTGTGCACCCACGCCCTCTGTGCACCCACGCCCTCCTCACGCGCCTGCATTGCATCCTCTGTTGCCTTGCAGAGGGGGGGACGGATTCCAGTACTTTCACACCCGATCTCTTTGAGATTCGACAAGAGTTTCTCGTGAAACCCAGAATTGGGTTTCCCATTAAACCCGTAACCCGAAACCCAGAACCCCGAGATTTTGTGATCGCGAGTGGCGGGCGGCATGGGCAAGCGAGAGGTGCGCGCGGGGGTGAGTCCCGCGGAGCGGGAGGAGCGGATGCGCGCGGCGAGGGAAATGGCTAAGGAGCTCCCCATTTCTGCAGGTATGGCATTCCCATGGGTGCAGGTACGGCATTCCCATGGGTGCAGGTACGGCATTCCCATGGCTGCAGGTACGGCATTCCCATGGCTGCAGGTACGGCATTCCCATGGCTGCAGGTACGGCATTCCCATGGCTGCAGGTACGGCATTCCCATGGCTGCAGGTACGGCATTCCCATGGCTGCAGGTACCCATCATCATTTTCTACTGCCCTCCAGTACCCTCCATTACTCTCCAGCGCCCTTAAACACCCTCCACTCGCCTCCATTCACAACACCCTGTAGAACCCTTCACTGCACCCTAAAGAGCCTCTGCCGCTCTGCTGTCTGTGCAAACTTGAAACCTTGCTATTTTCGCAAATAGCCCTCATACAGTGCTGGAATTCTAGCTTTCATATCTCGTCCAATTGTGTCTCATTGCCCTGTAACGCGTACAACCACCCGCCCCTGCACGGCAGTGCAGCAGCAGCTGGTGGAGGAGGTGCGGGCGGCACACACACTCGTGGTGGTGGGCGAGACCGGCAGCGGCAAGACCACTCGTGAGTCCCTCCTTCCCCCGCCCGCCCTCTCTTGCCCTCTCCTCCTCTCTTACACTTATCCTCAAGCACCCTCGTCAGTCCCGCCTCCCTGTGCCCACCCACACCAGCCGCTCTCCCCACGTATCACCATCACAATAACCTGCTCCCACTCTACCACTCCGTCCCTCCCTTCTCCCTTTCTCCTTCCCCAGAGGGCCCCATCCTCCACTCGTCGCTCCATTCTACACGCAACACTGCCTGACACTTGCTCACTCACCTTGCCTCCCTCTCTTTGCCATCTCCCCTTCCCTCTGTATCCCTCCCCCCCAGAGCTCCCCCAGTTCATTCTTTCCTCCAGCCTGCTCGCGCCACACCAATCTATTGCCATCACACAAACGCAGTGGATGGCAGCAGTGACGTGACTCACCCACTCACTCCCCCTCTCCCTCTCTCCATCTCACTCCCCCTCACATGCTCTCCCACTAACTCAATCTTTCCTTCTCTCACTCTCACTCTTTTTCCTCACTCCCTCTCCTTCTCCCCCGCAGAGCTCCCTCAGTTCATCCTCTCATCGGGCCTGCTCGCCCCACACCAAGCCATCGCCGTCACACAGCCACGCAGAGTGGCAGCAGTGACGGTGGCGGCGCGCGTGGCGGAGGAGAGGGGCGTGGGCGTGGGGCAGGAGGTGGGTTACAGCGTGCGCTTTGAGGACGTCACCAGCTCGCACACGCGCATCAAGTACCTCACTGATGGCATGCTGCTCAGGTAAGCTGCGGTGAAGGCCAAGGTGGTGCATCCAGTGTGGTGGTGCTTAGTAGGGCGCAGCGCAGGTCAACCTTATGTCACCTCCACCCGCACCACGCACGCATACACATCGAGTACCTCACCGACGGCATGCTGCTCAGGTGCAGGCTGATAGGGCGAATGCGGGGCGTTGTAAGGCGAGTGTGGTGCCCTGGAGGGCGCACATCAACTCCATGTCACCTCCCACCTGCATGCACATCGAGTACCTCACCGACGGCATGCTGCTCAGGTGCGACCGGCGGTGGTGGTGTTCTGTAGAGCCTAAGTAATGTGTAGTAACACACAGGTGCATGCTCAGGTGAGTGCTCTGGTGATTCCGTGTACATGGTCGGTCCCTTGCAACCTGTCTTGTCCGTATTGGACCTTCTTCCACACTGCTATGGCGTGGTGAGGATGAGGCTGACAGACACACGTGGTGAGGATGAGGCTGACAGACACACGTGGTGAGGATGAGGCTGACAGACACACGTGGTGAGGATGAGACTGACAGACACACGTGTAAGGTAGTAAACACCCTTCTCCCAGATTTCATTCACGTGGCTCCTTCTGGTTGACCTTTTTCCTCCAGGGAGGCTCTGGTGGGCCCTTGTATTGAGCTGCTACGGCACGGCGTGGTGGTGGACGAGGGTCATGAGCGCACAGTGAAGCACCCAGGTGTGCAAGACAGACAAACACCCTGTTTCCACATTCCCGATGTCACAACCTTACCTTCAGGGAAGCACTTCTGGACCCGCTGTTGAGGCGCTACGGCGTGGTGGTGGTGGACGAGGCCCATGAGCGCACCGTGAACCACAGGGAGGCTCATGAACCACTCTTCCCTCCCCCCACGCCCACTTGTACACCCTTCAGGGAGGCGCTACTAGACCCTCTTTTAAGGCGCTACGGAGTGGTGGTGGTGGACGAGGCCCATGAGCGCACCGTGAACACGGACGTGCTGCTGGGCCTGCTGCAGCAGGTGCAGGCCCGCCGCCATGCACTCGCCACAGGGGGGACGGGAGCAGGGACGGGCGGGCCGGGGCAGAAGGGGAAGGTGGTGGGCGGTGGGAGAGAGGCGGAGGATGGCGCCGTTGAGGGGCAGAAGAGACAGAAGCGGCGGAGAGGAGAGGAGGGCAGGGAGGGAGAGGCAGACAGAGAGGCGGATGGGCAAATTGGGGAGGCTGCTGCAGGCACAGGCGTAAACACAGGGGCAAGTGCAAGCGCAGTCACAGGCACAGGGTCAAGCGAGGGCGAGCTGAAGCTGATAGTGATGTCGGCCACCCTGGAGTCGCGCAAGTTCCTCGAATTCTTCCCCGCCGCCCACGCTGTGTACATCCGCGGCAGGCAGCACCCCGTGCAGGTGCTCTACACTCCCGCCCCCGAGCCTGACTTCCTCGACGCGGCGCTGGTAACCGTGTTACAGATACACACGGATCACCCTATAGAGGGTACAGCCCCGGGGCAGGCGGGGGATATTCTCGTGTTTCTCACGGGGCAGGAGGACATAGAGGCCATGGCCAGGCTGCTGCAGGAACGTGCGGCGAAGCTTCCTCCCGGCACGCCGCCGCTGGCTGTGGCGCCCATCTATGCGGCGCTGCCAGCGGAGCAGCAGATGAACGTGTTCCGCCCCGCTCCCGCTGGGTGCAGAAAGGTGCAGTGCGGTGCAGGGTGGAGGGGTGGGTGGGGGCTAGGGGATGGGTAGCTGGGAGAAAGGTAAGGGTGGGGTGGATTTTTTTTGCACGGTGAAGCGTACATTGGGTGAATAAAAAATTGCATTACATTTTTTAAATTGTTGATAATGATGTCATTTCTGCTCGTTTTTCCCCACGTCGTTTGCAACAAAGTGATGCGCATTGTAACGGCTCATTGTCACGTGCTCCTCTCTGCTCTGCTCTACCTACCTTCCATCATCGCTGACCAACCTCCATCCATTTTGCACTCTCTCACTGCTCCCAGCACTCATGTCGATCCAACACACAGCATTGCATGCCACCTCCAACTGTCCACCTCTCCCGCTCTCCCCTTTCCCTCTCATCCCCAGGTAGTCCTAGCCACCAACATAGCAGAGACGTCAGAAGCCATTCAAGGCATTCGCTTCATGGTGGGCGCGGGGCTGGTGAAGGCCCGGGCCTTCAACTGCCTTCTGCCTGCACCCACCGTCCACCCGCCACCTCCCCCCTCCACCCTCCACCCTCTGCATACCATTCGCTCCTCTCCCCAAGGTGGTCCTAGCAACCAACATTGCCGACACGTCGGTAACGATCGTGGGGATCCGCTTTGTGGAAACAACGCCCCTGCCTGTCGCCCTCTCCCCCTCTCCCATTCTCCCCCTCGCCACGCCACCTACCTTCCTCCCCCAGGTAGTCCTGGCAACCAACATAGCGGAGACGTCAGTGACCATCCCGGGGATTCGCTTTGTGGTGGATGCGGGGCTGGTGAAGGCGCGGGCCTTCAACTGCCGCACGGGTGTTGACTCACTCGTGGTCGTGCCCGTGTCCAAGGCACAGGCCCGCCAGAGGAGGTGCGGGGAGGTAGGGGGGTGTTGGGCATGGGGGGCTTGCAGTGCAGGGGCGCTCAACGGGTGTTGACTCTCTGGTGGTCGTGCCCGTGTTTAAGGCACAGGCCCGGCAGAGAAGGTGAGGAGAAGAGGGGTATTGGGCATGGAGGGCATGCAGTGCAGGGGCGCGGAACAAGCGTTGACTCGCTGGTGGTCGTGCCCGTGTCCAAGGCACAGGCCCGGCAGAGAAGGTGTGTGGTGAACCGTGAAGGGGCATGTGTGGTGAACCGTGAAGGGGCATGTGTGGGTGCGGGTAGGTGGAGGGTGGGAGGCATGGGTGCGCGGAGGAGGTTGGTACATGCAGTGCGGGAAGGCAGGCAGGTGAAGGCAAGGGCATTCGACCGGTCTTGACTGGCTCGTCGCTGTGCCCATGTCCAAGGCGCACGGCCGCAGGCCCCCCAGGGATGGGGCGGGGAGGGGGATATGCATGGGCGGAGGGAGGTGCAGAGTGGGGAACACGGGTGGGCGGAGGGAGGTGCGGGGAGGTTGGGTTGGGTGGTTCGAAAGTGGGCAGAGGAAGGAGGTGGGAGCAACTGTGGGCTGAGAAGGTCGGGGGCATGTGGTGGGAGTGGGGGAACACTGCATGTGTTTTTTCACCCTCATCTCAACCTCCAGGCATCACTGGTGAAGGTGCAACCTCCAGGCATCACTGGTGAAGGTGCAACCTCCAGGCATGGTGAAGGTGCAACCGAGTGGCCTTTGCCTTTGCGCCCTCTCTGCTCCCTCCCACTCTCCACTCCCACTCAGCACCTCTGTCGACTCCCTCCCACTTTCCATCCTGTCTCCCAGTGGGCGAGCGGGCAGGGAGGCGCCAGGAAAGTGCTACCGGCTGTACACAGAGGGCACGTTCGAGGCGCTGCCAGAGGCGCCCGTGCCGGAGATGCTGCGCTGCAACCTCGCCTCTGTGGTGCTGCAACTCATCGCTCTGGGTGTCAAGGACCTGCTCTCCTTCCCCTTCCTCGACCCGCCACCACAGTGAGTGATTTGTTTGTTGTGTCTCTCCTTGACTTGTTGTCAGGACTGCAGGTGCTGGAAACGGCCGTGAAGGCCCTGAAGGCCTAGCAGCGCTGTTGTGCTGCAATGCAACTCATCGCTCTCTCTAACACCCTCCAGTGTCCCCTCTACTAAAACCTCTGAGGCTTTTGACCAGTCTCTCATCCTTCTTTCCTCCTTGCCCCTTCTCTCCCTCCTGTGCCCCCTCCCCCTACAGGGCAGCCATACTGCGAGCTTTGGAGCATCTGGTCTCACTGGGAGCGCTCACACCGGAGGGGCGGCTGTCGCCACAGGGGAAACACATGGCACGCTTCCCTCTCTTCACCCCCCTTCTCTCACCCCTCTGTGCACTCTCTCCCCCCTGACAGGGCGGCCATACTGCGGGCGCTGGAGCATCTGTTCTCGCTGGGAGCGCTCACGCCAGAGGGGAGCCTGTCGCCACAGGGGAAACACATGGCACGCTTCCCCCTCGACCCCGTATTTGCCAAGGTGCGTGGGCGGGTACATGCCAAGGTGCGTGGGCAGGTGCATGCCAAGATGATTAAAAAAAGGTGCATGCCAAGATGAAAAAAAAAAGGTGCATGCCAAGATGATAAAAAAAAGGTGCATGCCAAGATAATTAAAAAAAGGTGCATGCCAAGATGATTAAAAAAAGGTGCCTGCCAAGATGATTAAAAAAGGTGCATGCCAAGATGATTAAAAAAAGGTGCGTGCCAAGATGATTAAAAAAAGGTGCATGCCAAGATGATTAAAAAAAGGTGCGTGCCAAGATGATTAAAAAAAGGTGCATGCCAAGATGATAAAAAAAAGGTGCATGCCAAGATGATAAAAAAAAGGTGCATGCCAAGATGATAAAAAAAAGGTGCATGCCAAGATGGGTGGACGAGTGTTCATACCAAGGTGGGCGCATGCAGGTGTACGCCATGGTGGGTGAGCGGGTGCACACAGGTGATCACACGGCAGGCGACCAATGCGTCCTGCGTGAGTGTGCCACGGGGGAGCAGCATGCTCCTCCTCACAGCCAGGGCATGCTCCTCCTCACAGCCAGGGCATGCTCCTCCTCACAGCCAGGGCATGCTCCTCCTCACAGCCAGGGCATGCTCCTCCTCACAACCAGGGCATGCTCCTCCTCACAGCCAGGGCATGCTCCTCCTCACAGCCAGGGCATGCTCCTCCTCACAGCCAGGGCATGCTCCTCCTCACAGCCAGGGCATGCTCCTCCTCACAGCCAGGGCATGCTCCTCCTCACAGCCAGGGCATGCTCCTCCTCACAGCCAGGGCATGCTCCTCCTCACAACCAGGGCATGCTCCTCCTCACAGCCAGGGCATGCTCCTCCTCACAGCCAGGGCATGTTCCTCCTCACAGCCAGGGCATGCTCCTCCTCACAGCCAGGGCATGCTCCTCCTCACAGCCAGGGCATGCTCCTCCTCACAGCCAGGGCATGCTCCTCCTCACAGCCAGGGCATGCTCGTCCTCACAGCCAGGGCATGCTCCTCCTCACAGCCAGGGCATGCTCCTCCTCACAGCCAGGGCATGCTCCTCCTCACAACCAGGGCATTCTCCTCCTCACAGCCAGGGCATGCTCCTCCTCACAGCCAGGGCATGCTCCTCCTCACAGCCAGGGCATGCTCCTCCTCACAGCCAGGGCATGCTCCTCCTCACAGCCAGGGCATGCTCCTCCTCACAGCCAGGGCATGCTCCTCCTCACAACCAGGTCATGCTCCTCCTCACAGCCAGGGCATGCTCCTCCTCACAACCAGGGCATGCTCCTCCTCACAGACAGGGCATGCTCCTCCTCACAGCCAGGGCATGCTCCTCCTCACAACCAGGGCATTCTCCTCCTCACAGCCAGGGCATGCTCCTCCTCACAGCCAGGGCATGCTCCTCCTCACAGCCAGGGCATGCTCCTCCTCACAGCCAGGGCATGCTCCTCCTCACAGCCAGGGCATGCTCCTCCTCACAACCAGGGCATTCTCCTCCTCACAGCCAGGGCATGCTCCTCCTCACAACCAGGGCATGCTCCTCCTCACAACCAGGGCATTCTCCTCCTCACAGCCAGGGCATGCTCCTCCTCACAACCAGGGCATGCTCCTCCTCACAGCCAGGGCATGCTCCTCCTCACAACCAGGGCATTCTCCTCCTCACAGCCAGGGCATGCTCCTCCTCACAACCAGGGCATGCTCCTCCTCACAACCAGGGCATTCTCCTCCTCACAGCCAGGGCATGCTCCTCCTCACAACCAGGGCATGCTCCTCCTCACAACCAGGGCATGCTCCTCCTCACAACCAGGGCATGCTCCTCCTCACAACCAGGGCATGCTCCTCCTCACAGCCAGGGCATGCTCCTCCTCACAACCAGGGCATTCTCCTCCTCACAGCCAGGGCATGCTCCTCCTCACAGCCAGGGCATGCTCCTCCTCACAGCCAGGGCATGCTCCTCCTCACAGCCAGGGCATGCTCCTCCTCACAGCCAGGGCATGCTCCTCCTCACAACCAGGGCATGCTCCTCCTCACAGCTAGGGCATGCTCCTCCTCACAGCAAGGGCATGCTCCTCCTCACAACCAGGGCATGCTCCTCCTCACAGCCAGGGCATGCTCCTCCTCACAGCCAGGGCATGCTCCTCCTCACAACCAGGGCATTCTCCTCCTCACAGCCAGGGCATGCTCCTCCTCACAACCAGGGCATGCTCCTCCTCACAGCCAGGGCATGCTCCTCCTCACAACCAGGGCATGCTCCTCCTCACGGCCAGGGCATGCTCCTCCTCACAGCCAGGGCATGCTCCTCCTCACAACCAGGGCATTCTCCTCCTCACAGCCAGGGCATGCTCCTCCTCACAACCAGGGCATGCTCCTCCTCACAGCCAGGGCATGCTCCTCCTCACAGCCAGGGCATGCTCCTCCTCACAGCCAGGGCATGCTCCTCCTCACAGCCAGGGCATGCTCCTCCTCACAGCCAGGGCATGCTCCTCCTCACAGCCAGGGCATGCTCCTCCTCACAGCCAGGGCATGCTCCTCCTCACAGCCAGGGCATGCTCCTCCTCACAGCCAGGGCATGCTCCTCCTCACAGCCAGGGCATGCTCCTCCTCACAACCAGGGCATGCTCCTCCTCACAGCCAGGGCATGCTCCTCCTCACAGCCAGGGCATGCTCCTCCTCACAACCAGGGCATTCTCCTCCTCACAGCCAGGGCATGCTCCTCCTCACAACCAGGGCATGCTCCTCCTCACAACCAGGGCATTCTCCTCCTCACAGCCAGGGCATGCTCCTCCTCACAACCAGGGCATGCTCCTCCTCACAACCAGGGCATGCTCCTCCTCACAACCAGGGCATGCTCCTCCTCACAACCAGGGCATGCTCCTCCTCACAGCCAGGGCATGCTCCTCCTCACAACCAGGGCATTCTCCTCCTCACAGCCAGGGCATGCTCCTCCTCACAGCCAGGGCATGCTCCTCCTCACAGCCAGGGCATGCTCCTCCTCACAGCCAGGGCATGCTCCTCCTCACAACCAGGGCATGCTCCTCCTCACAGCCAGGGCATGCTCCTCCTCACAGCCAGGGCATGCTCCTCCTCACAACCAGGGCATGCTCCTCCTCACAGCCAGGGCATGCTCCTCCTCACAGCCAGGGCATGCTCCTCCTCACAACCAGGGCATTCTCCTCCTCACAGCCAGGGCATGCTCCTCCTCACAACCAGGGCATGCTCCTCCTCACAGCCAGGGCATGCTCCTCCTCACAGCCAGGGCATGCTCCTCCTCACATCCAGGGCATGCTCCTCCTCACAGCCAGGGCATGCTCCTCCTCACAGCCAGGGCATGCTCCTCCTCACAGCCAGGGCATGCTCCTCCTCACAACCAGGGCATTCTCCTCCTCACAGCCAGGGCATGCTCCTCCTCACAGCCAGGGCATGCTCCTCCTCACAGCCAGGGCATGCTCCTCCTCACAGCCAGGGCATGCTCCTCCTCACAGCCAGGGCATGCTCCTCCTCACAGCCAGGGCATGCTCCTCCTCACAGCCAGGGCATGCTCCTCCTCACAGCCAGGGCATGCTCCTCCTCACAACCAGGGCATTCTCCTCCTCACAGCCAGGGCATGCTCCTCCTCACAGCCAGGGCATGCTCCTCCTCACAGCCAGGGCATGCTCCTCCTCACCATCCGCTCCTTCATCAGCAGTGCTGCTGCGGGCTCGGCAGCATGAGGAGGCACCCCTCTCACTCTGCCACCCTCCCCTCTCCCTCCCCCAAGCCATCTATACTGGAGGTGTATCGCTTGGGGTCAGCAGGGGTGGCAGGCGACATGGTGGCAGCAGCGAGCACACGAAAGCCACCACCCCACTCCCATTCTTCTCTATGCGTGCTATCCGCACAGCCGCCACTCTCACCCTTTCCGCTTCCACTCCCACCTCCCTCTCCCCCCCCATCCTCACCAGGCCATGCTGGGGACATATCGCCTGGGGTCAGTAGTGGGGACCAACAGCATGTGGCAGCAGCTGGCACAACCAGCACTGTCCCCCGCTCCCTCCGCTTCCCCCTTCCATGTCACCGCCCCTCCCCAGGCCATGCTGGGAGCATATCGCCTGGGGTCAGGTCAGCAGCGGCGGCGGATGGCATGAAGGCCAACACACTCATCCTCTCCCCCTCCTCCCCCGCTTCCCCCCGCTTCCCCCCGCGTGCTCCACAGGCCATACTGGAGGCGTACCGACTGGGTTCAGCAGGAGTGGCGGACGACATGGTGGCAGCGGTGGCCATGCTTTCCGTGGACTCACTCGCCCTCAGCTCCCCTCTCTCTAGGCCACACTGGAAGCTGACCTCCGGATTCTCTGCGCCCGTTATGCTCATCGTGATCACTCTCACTCTCTCCTCTGCTGGCCCCCCTCCTTTCCCTTTGAGGCCAGGCCATACTGGAGGCGTATCGACTGGGTTCAGCAGGATTGGTAGACGGCATGGTGGCAGCAGTGGCCATGCTCTCTGTCGACTCGGCCTCAGTGTCACTCCCTCCTCTGCTCCCCCCCCTCGCTTCCCTTCCCGCCCCGCCAGGCCATACTGGAGGCATATCGCCTGGGATCAGCAGGAGTGGCGGACGACATGGTGGCAGCGGTGGCCATGCTCTCTGTCGACTCGCCCTTCCACACGCCCTCGCATGCTGCTGCTGAGGTAATGCTGCTGCTCGTGATGTATTGCTACTGCTGACTTGGCATGGCATAGCTGTTGCTCACGTCACAAGGCCAAAGTTGCGCTGACTTACATGAGATTGAATGGGGCTTCTTGTGATCGCGTTACATAATCTGTGTAACATAATCACTCCTTTCATTCCCTTCACTTTTTTCTCCACATCCCTGTTACATAATCTGTTGCCTCGCTCACAGGCTCATGCTGCCCGAAAGAGATTTTTCTGCCCCGATGGCGACCATCTCACGCTGGTGAACGTTCTGCGGGGTTATCTGGCAGCGGGCAGCAAAAACACCGAGGCTGATGACGTGGCAAATGACGGGAGCAACAAAGATGGGAGTGGTGGTGGGGGTCCGGGGTTTGGGCGGCAGGCGAAAGCGAGGGAGGGGAGGGTGCGGGCATGGTGCAAGGCACACTACCTCAATGGGCGCTCTCTAAAAAAGGCAGCAGACGTGTATCGGTGAGAGTGGGGCAGATGTGTGCTGGTGAGAATGCACGGACCCATGGATGGCTGGTGAGAATGCACGGGCCCATGGATGGCTGGTGAGAATGCACGGACCCATGGATGGCTGGTGAGAATGCACGGACCCATGGATGGCTGGTGAGAATGCACGGACCCATGGATGGCTGGTGAGAATGCACGGACCCATGGATGGCTGGTGAGAATGCACGGGCCCATGGATGGCTGGTGAGAATGCACGGACCCATGGATGGCTGTTGAGAATGCACGGGCCCATGGATGGCTGGTGAGAATGCACGGGCCATGCATGGCTGGGCCTTAATCTTCTTCTGTGTGAGGTTTACGGTCAGAATGGTTTCAAAAGAAGGCACTTGTCTACCCAGGATCATAACTATCTGCATGTCCCTCACTCTCCACTCCTCCTCTCTGCATCTCCCTCACTCCCTTTCTCCAATCTGCACGTCCCTCTGTCCTCTCCTCCTGTCTGCATGTCCCGCACTCCCGTGCCGTATTCACCGCAGGCAATTGCAAGCGTACTGTCACGGCCTCTCTCTACCTGTTGTCTCCAACTCGACGCTTCCTCCATCGTCATCATCAGCACTTGCAGCCACAGGCACCGCGGCAGAAGCAGCAGCGCAGCGGCGGGACGAGTCGGTTGCGTTTCGGCGGGCGCTGACAGCAGCCTTCTTTGCCAACGCTGCCAAGAAGCAAGCTGATGGCACATACAGGTACGTGAGGGTGGGCACGTGCAGGTACGTGAGGGTGGGCACGTGCAGGTACGTGAGGGTGGGCAACAACATCTTGGGAGGGTGGACGTTGAGTGCTCGGCCGCACAGATGTGATTCCTGAGGCGCCTCAAGGGCCGTGCATGTTGCGTGCGGGACCGCACAGGTGTGCGCATGAGAATGCAGTGATAGCCTCGCGCACCCTCATGCGCACACCACTCTCAGGTGCTGTGCTCTCAGGTGCCATGCTCTCAGGTGCCATGCTCTCAGGTGCCATGCTCTCAGGTGCCATGTTCTCAGGTGCCATGCTCTCAGGTGCCATGCTCTCAGGTGCCATGCTCTCAGATGCTCTGCTCCTCAGCCCCCCCCGGCCTTGTTACCGCCACCACGTTCTGCCTGCCTTCATATTGCCCGCCTCTCTGCCTTCTCACCTGCGCCCTCACCTTCCCAGGGCACTAGCAAGTGGGCTGCAGGTGGTTGCGATTTACCCAACCTCTGCCTGCCTTCACTATTGAAGCACACCGGCATCCTCCTCTCGCCCTTCCCCCCTGTGCTCCCAAACCTCTCAGGGCACTAGCCAGCGGGCAGGTGGTGGCAATCCACCCATCCTCGGTTCTCTTCAGCGGCGCCGCCACCAGCAGCAGCACCATTGGTGGCAGCAGAGGGGGCGGCGGCAGCAACCGCAGCAAGAGCAGCAAGAGTGGGGGCGAGCAGCAGGCAGCACCTGCACGTGCACATCTGCCGGACTGCATAGTGTTCAATGAGATGGTTCGCACCAACCGGCTGTATGCTCGCGGTGTCACCCGCATTGATGCCCTCTGGCTGCCTGAACTTGCACCGCAATTCTATAAAACCCATGTGTAATGAATGGCAGCACCTGCACGTGCGCATCTGCCGGACTGCATAGTGTTCAATGAGATGGTTCGCACCAACTGGCTGTATGCTCGCTCGCGGTGTCACCCGCATTGATGCTCTCTGGTTGCCTGAGCTCGCACCACAGTTCTATAAAACGGATGTGTCAGGAGATGTGTGGCGACGGCAATGCAATTGCATCAATGAACCGTTGAAGAGATGTGTCCCGGGGTATTTGCCAGGTGCAAATTTCGTGGCCATGCGTTGCGCAAGTCCTTGTTCGTGCAGCAATTATGGGTATTTTAGAGTCCTGGTGCGCTAAGCAATTGTGTAATAAGTGTGCAGAGGGATAAATACCTCCAGGTCTATCACATTGACCAGCACAACACAGGTCTATTCATATTCCCAATGAAGTAATCTACCACCTTACAACATTTCCTCTGCTCCATTCAAAATTTCCTCCACTGACACTCCGGTACAATCAACCCTGAGATATCGTCATTGTATCTTGATTGCTTGTCTAAATACGTCAGGAGTACACATCCATAGTACCATGTCCAGAGTTACAGGAACAAAATACCGTACAAGGAAAATACAAATTTACAGTAGAACAAAACTGCGATGCAGCGAGAGCTACGCTCGTTAGTCTCAAAACCGTGGAGTAATGCCTTGCTTGCAGTGTGCGCCATCCTGAATTGCAAAACAGCAGAAACAGAAAACTTAGAGACATTGGAGGAAATTGGCGAAGTGTATCAGAAGGGACATCCACCAAGGCAACAGCACGAGAGCCACAGGGCACTCGCACCACCGACCAGAAAACGCCCATCAGCGATAAACCCCGGCGCCCAGCCGTGAGGCGGGCGGTTGGTGTGCGCCCTGCATGAAACGACCATGCCACCGCCGCTGAGACAGCGCCGGGCACAGCCGGGATTATCAGGGCGGTTCGGGAAACGCGAGAGCATCTAGGAGGAAAAAACCGGGGGCAAGGGAAGGCCCGAGGTGACAGCAGCTAGGAGGGAAAAGCGGGCTGCAAGAGTGTATGAGGTGACGGCAGCAGGCAAGCGTGGTTGCTCAGACAGCCAAAGGAGTCCTCGTCAACGCCAGAGAGGCTCGGAAACTCTAGTCTGAAACCGTTGAGCTTCATCACTGCAACCACCGCTACGCCTTGCATGCCATGCAACCCAGTCAAGGATTTTGAAAAGCGCCAATGTAGAAGGTTTCAGCGAAGACGATCTTTGCGGGGGTGAATGTGCCATGGCTTTCCCGGCTCAGAGGAACAACGTTCTCCCCAAAGCAAGAATTTCCATCGCGGGCCGGCGGCCCATTGTGTGGCGCTTAAGCCATTGTGACCGCTGGGAACAGGGAGTCCCAGGGCATTGGTAACAAGCGCAAGAGCTCCCCACCCCACCCCGTCACTGAATAGCGCACTCACCAGAAGCGCTTGTTGTGATGCTCCAGGGGGAACGAGCGCAACCAGCACAACAAAGGACTCAGGTTGTGCGGCAGTTAAGAGCCTGTGAATTCAGAGGGGGTAAACGTGGCAAACAAGAGCACACAACAGCAAAATAAATTTCTTTGCAAAGCCTTAACATGGTGGGGGAGAGGCAGGGATGAAGACGAGGGGTGTGAGCGGCCTCCGACGCGGCGGCGCCACGGAGGGTGCAGCCGCGCCAGGCGCCCACAAGCGCTGCGCTGAGAGCCGCGTCTCGCAAACACCGACGGCGGGCGACAACCACGAGTGGGTCGCACTGGCAGAGGCCGACCGCCGCCGGCATCCGCGAGATCAGCCAACCACGAGAGCGGCAGGTGGGCGCGCTGACGCGACGTGCGGGGCCCCGCCGCTATAATGGCCGCACGCCTTGGCTGTGCGAAGGGCAACTAAGGAGCGCGCGATGCCGCAAGGCCGACGCGCTCCAACTCAGTCCTTCGACGCACGTGAGTGAGCTACGCGGGACAAAAACAAAGCGGACTCATGCTAGTAAAAAGCAAATGCAAAAGAGCGAGGTACGGCAACGAGCGTGCAGTGCCTCTCAGATCAGCGGAGTAACCGTCACCGGCCGTGATTGCCCTCGCCACGTAAGGGGGAGGGCGGGCCTCGGGCCTGTTGAGCTTGAATATTTGGGTCATCACTGAGGCAAACCTTGGGGGTGGGCGGCATTACCGCATACAAGCAGCAGCGCAAGGACAGGCAAATGAGAGCAGCAGAGCGAAGACAAGCGGGGCTGCGGGTTGAGGCGTGGCGAGCCATCAGGAAAAAATTAGAGTTAACTTAGCATTCACAGATGCACGCATCTCATCATGCACCGGTTATGGTTCTCATCAGCTGGCCGCCACGCAATGCACGCAGTGGCAGCAGGCAACAACGAAGAATAGCTTTACAAACACAGTAACACATGAGGGTTTAAGGTACGGCAGAGGCAATGCGAGCATCAAGAGTGTTGGAAGGGAAGGGGTCCTCAGAAGAAGGAGAAGTCGTTTTATGTTTGCTTCGTTCACGGTGAATCACATGGGTGCCCCGAAAGGCATCATCGTCACTGGACCCGCGGTGAGAGAGACGGGGCAGGGAGGGAAAGAAACGAGGAACGAGCAGGCGCGTGGAGGAAGAGCTGAGTTGAGGCCAACATCTTACCACTGAGGAACGACGCGGACCATGGTGCCTCAACTCGCGACCAACACGCCGCCATGTAGCTTTCGCCCGAGCTTCTGCATTGTCGAGGGAGCGGCAAGAATGGCGGGCGAGAGTCCAGGGAACGGCACGGCAGAGCTTGCCCGCCATCCTGCAGGCAACCGCGAGGAGATGGGAAAATACTTCAGACACGACAGGGACGAAAAGCACGAAACAAAAGGCGGCGCATGGGCGCGGCAGAGCAATGTAGAACAGCAGCCCGCGCGGCCTCACGGGCACGAGGCGAAGCGTTCAAGGAGCGAAGGCACTGTGCCCCAGATGATAGTTGCGGTGTCAGCCATGACAAGAACGCTGCCCCGCGCTGCACTGGGGACACCCTGCTGCCGCCCTCCCATTCCCCACCTCATCCACCCAGTCAAGAGATAATACAACAATAATCATAATCAAGAGGCAGGTGCAACGTCTGGCAGTGCGGCACAGCTAGCCCAGCAATACTCACACGACGATGACGCGCAGCAGTCGCAGTCGCCGCGATTGGAGCCGCAAATGGCGAGGCGGACGGGCTCCGATAGTCCCTGTCCGTGGCTTCTGCATGAATGGCCCAGTTCGATGATGACGTGGAATGCGGAGAGTGCCATCTGGACAGGGGATACCGTCGTTCCCGATCCTGTCACTGGTGCTGATCCAACGGCTCCGATGCTTCAAATGAGGGTGGTGGTGTAGGCGATCCTACGGCCGCAGCTGACGATGATCCTACGGCCACAGCTTGCCGGTGCCGTTCCTCGGTCGAAGCCGGGAGCAATCAACGGCTGGTTCTCCTCCTCGCCTGGTTCCATCCGTTATGAGTTGCAAATAGCTACGAAACGCCAGAAGATAAATAATAAGCCAAGGGCGGAATGGTGAGAAAAGGGCAGAGAGGGCATCGAGGGCAGCGCGAGAGGACGGAGGGAGGGGTCGAGAGAAGTGGGGAGCTCCGGAAATGAAATAAGTAGGCGGTGGTTTCCACCCTGCAGCCCCCAGAGAAGCAAGCATTCACTATTCTCAAACAAACAGAACTGTCAACAAGTGCAACTATATGGTTCGTTTCATCTCATAATTGCGAATACCGTATAACTTATTGGTGAAATTAAGATGGTATTGTCTTACATATCATGGATGAAGATTGAGAGTTTTTTCTGTTTTCATTTAGACCCAAAATCATTCTCATTGTTGTAGTGAAGTCACAAAACCAGTTTTCGCGTTTAAGTTGTAAGAACAAGCATAAGTTCTTACATTGTACAGTGCTTATTCCATTATCGGTTTATCGCTTTGTCTCAGTCACACGAAAGCGCAGGTACATAGGGGAAGGGTGTGAAAGGGCGCAAGTACATCCAAAACTCCAGTGCATTCTGTCATGAATTTTTGTAGAGGTCGCTGCTGACGACCGCTGCACGAGCGCGGGTTGATCTCTGAGGCACCGTGATTCTCAGGTGCGTTGATCCTTCCTGGCTTTTCTAGTCCCTCCCCTCTCTGAAATTTCCTAACTTTCTCACATCGTTCGTAGGTTATGTGCGTCGATTGGTCTCCTCTTGCTTTGCACTACCATCTGAAGAGGGGGAGAGAGGGAGCGCGAGGGAGAGCGTGCGCACGATAGCGATCTCGCAGGAGAGTACTCGTGAGAGGCCGTATTTAAGAGCGAAGAAAGAGCTGGAAGGAGCGGGGGAGGGAGCACCAAGAACGTGTGGGAGGGAGCGTTGGAGGGAGAGGAGAGATAGAGAGCGCCATGCGCGCCGTGGGCGCTTGCGACTAAGCCGCTTGCACTTAGGGCGCTGGCACCGTAGGCGCTTGCGATTAGAGCATGAGTGTGCGTGTGGTTGCAAGAGTTGAGTGCGAGAGTGTGCGAGATTGTGAGTGCGGACGTGAATCTTGGTGCGAGTGCGGGCGTGAGTGGGACTGAGATCTGCGCATGCACTTTAGGGTGAGTGCGGCTTTGAGCGCAAGGGCAAGTGCGAAGGTGAACGAGAGAGCAAGTGATGGCGTGAGTGCGCAAGTGAGTGCGAAAGCAAGTGTGTGAGAGTGAGTGTGAGGGCGAGGGCGAGTTTGAGTATGTGTGTGAGTGCGAGGTTGAGTGAAAGGGCGCGGGTGTGAGTACAATGGGGAGTGCTCGTGCCAGGTTGAGTATGAGGATGAGTGCACGTGTTTGTGTGTGTGTTCCTGTGAGTGCTGAAGAAGAGCTGTGTGTGAAGAGCGAGTGAGAGCGCGATTGCAAGGGTGAGAACAAGGGTGATCACGGGCATGGGTGCTGGGGTGAGTGCGAGGGTGAGTGCGAAGGTGCGTGCGACCGCGTGTGCGAGAGCAAGTGGGAGAGTGAGCGCGAGTGTGAGTGTGAGGGCGAGTGCGAGTGTGAGTGCGAGGGCGAGTGCGAGTGTGAGTGCGTGTGCGTATGTGGGTGCTCGAGGGAGCGCGAGCGCGAGCCCGAGGGTGAGTGCGAGGGTGTATGTGGGTTTTCTGCGAGTGTCCAAGATTGGTGAGTGGTTGCGAGAGTGAGTGCGACCGTGTGCGAGAGGGTGAGCGCGGGTTTTGAATCCACAACCTCTCGCAATCAAATTTAATTGTGTGCCTGTTCTCATTCGAATTCGGAAGCTGCCAAGGGCATTTGTAAGCCTCTGCCGAGCCCAAGGTTCATCACTTGTGCCTCGCAAACTTGACAACCTCGCAAACTTGACACCCTCGAAAACTCGCCCTCTCTTTTCCCCCGTACCCCTCGTTCCCTGTCCTTCTTGGCCAGTAACCCTAATTCACCCTCCCTTGCCCCTCGCCACTGCGCCACGCACCGCTGCAGCTGTCCATCTCACCCCTGCCCTCATGGCACACACCGCGCTTCTGCCGCGCGCCGCTCTCATGCCCACCATCGCACCACTCCAGCCCGTCGCCTCGCTGCGCGGCGGGCCAGCGGCATCCCCCCCTGCAACCGCTCACCCTGCCCGGGCCTTCACGGGGCTGCACGCGGCAGCGGCAGCAGCAGCAGCAGCGCGCAAAGTGGTGCGGGCGGCAGCAGCAGCGGAGGGGGAGAACGGCTCACTAAGGACCCAGCCAGGCCAGGAGCAGGAGGGGGAAGCGGGGGGCGAGGCGGGGGGCGAGGCGGACCCCGTGTTGGAGGAGGCGCGGCGGCGCAGGGCGGAGTGGCAGGCGCCGGCGCCGACGCGCGTGGAGGCGATTCTGGACGTGCTGTTTGTGTTCGGCGGGCTGCTGGACCGCCCGTTCGGGTCGGGGCAGAGCATCGCGGCGGCGGGGCGCGTGGTGCTGGCGCGTGTGGAAAAGGAAGTGCAGGCGCTCAGGCAAGAGGGCGAGGGAGGCTCTGCTGCTGCTGCTGCTGCTCCTGTGCGCACTGGAGCGGCGGCTGTTCCGCGGAGTGGGATGGAGGGTGTGGCAGCGGAGGGAGCAGCAGCAGGCGGGGGTGGTGAAGGCGGGAAGGGGGGGGCGGTGAACCGGCAGCAGGTGCTGTTTGAGTTGACGCGGGTGGTGCAGCTGCTGGGGGTGGACATGCAGATGGTGGGCGCTGCTGTGAAGGAGGAGACGCTGCTGAAGCGCCTCGAGGAGGCCAAGAGCCACTGCCAGCTGGCAATGCGCCTTGCCAACAGCTTGTGACGTGACGTGTTGGGGTGCACATCGCTCTAGTGTGGGAGTTGATCTCAGGAAGCTTTGATGCCTTCATGCCGTGCTGAAATTCAGTAGGTTCAATAATTTTATAAGCATTGGACAACTCTGTCTGTCGTCCATGCTAAATCCCCTTCCATGCTATGAAGGCACCTTTTCATAAGCATTGATTGTACTGTCAATGAATATAACAATGTTTATACATAATCATCTGATAGTGTTGAAGTCCATTAAGAGAGTAAGCGAAGCAAATTCAAACGAGAGTAGCACGTCGCCTCGTTTTCATAAGGACGCGGTAAAAGTGCTCGATCGGGAAGAGATCGATCCGGTCACCGCACTGATTTGCATACGAAAGGTACACAACCGTTTACAACCGCGCTAAAAAACGATCCTGAGGCGATCGAATCTCCACTTTTACCGCGTCCTAACTGACGCACGGGTCGGCAGTGGTCAGCAAACTCTGCCGCTAGAAAACTAGTTACGGCTTTGCGTAGCCCAATCGCCGCTCAGGTGTCGACTCCGCTACCACGCGCCAAGGTGAGCCGCCGCGGGGTCAGTGTAGTGTCCACACTCCGCGCCCGCAAATTGTTCGGCGCCCCGCGCCCACTCTCTCTCCGCTGCTCCGCCCGTCGCGCGCGCGCCGCCCCCCGCTTTCCACCCTCCATCTGCGCAGCGGCTCCGCGACTTCGCCCTCTCTCCGCCTCTCCCCTGCGTCGCCGCCACCGCGCCTCCCATCCCTCTCTCCCCTTTCTCCATTCTCTTTTTGCGCCGCTCTTCCCCCCATCCCTCCCCGTGCGCACGCGGACCTGCGGCACTCTCGTCTCAGCCAACGGCACTCGCCTGCGCCACGCTCCCTCTCTTCTCGCTCTCCTGCCCGTCTTCCCTCATCCCCCTCCACCCCCCTTTCGCCCTCCACGATTCCCCACACACCTGCCCCTCTCCCCACTCACCCCCTCCTTGCCCCTTCCCCGCTTCGACCATTCCCCGTCTTGCCCCTTCCCTGCTTGCCCCCCTTCCCTCCGTGCACCGTTTACAGGGCAGGCGTGGGGGCCATGGCTGCTGTGACCACCACCACCCCCACCACTGCCGCTCAGCCGCCTTCCAGCATCCCTCCCGCCAACCACACATGGTACCGACCGAACCCCTTTGTGCCGGGGACTGGCGTTACCCCAGCCTCTTCCATGCCATCTTCGACCATCCTCACTTGCACATGTTCCCCACCATCCTCACTTGCACATGTTCCCCACCATCCTCACTTGCACATGTTCCCCACCATCCTCACTTGCACATGTTCCCCACCATCCTCACTTGCACATGTTCCCCACCATCCTCACCCCACACCTTCGCTTTTCTGCACCAACAGGCGGACTGGCTTTCTCCACGCCCCTGACCGCTGGGGGTCATCATGCAGACCTGATGCTCTGCTCTTCCTTGCCTTGCAGCAATCTCGTTATCGCCTCGCCAGTGCACGCACACCCCGGCTAACTAACCGGGACAGCGTCAGTGTGTGCGCACATCACATCATCTCGCTTGTGTGCAGCGGCATCCCTAGCCCTAGACGCGCGATGTGAGGAGAGAGAGACAATGTGTGCACATCGTCTCCCTCCTCCTCTGCCTACGTCGTCGCCCTGCCCGTCCATTCGACCCCCTTCCCTTCCCCAGCTACCCCTTTCTTCTCTCCCCTTCCCCCCTTTCATGCAGTGAGCTGCGTGTAACGTGTGGGTCGCCAGAGGAGGCGCTCATTCTGCGCAACACACTCGCAGTCGACCCCGAGGTGAGGCTTTAAGGGGTCAGCCAGGTGACGCCTTCCCACGCCACACCTACCTAAGGTGGGTCGCCAGAGGAGGCGCTCATTCTGCGCAACACACTCGCAGTCAACCCCGAGGTGAGGTGAGGGTATACGGTGATGTGCGGTGTTCCCATGCCAACCAGTTTAGGGAGATGGCGTGGGGCCTTTTCACGCCAATGACCCCCTGATTTGACGCTTTCTCACGCTCTTGTAAGGCTTTTCCTTGCCATCTGTCATTCGGGAGGGCCACACCTCTGGTTGTGCTGTTTCCTTTCACCACAACTCTTTCCACTACCAACCGTCAACAACCATCACCGACCAACCCCAACCATCACCAACCACTCTCACTTCATTTGCTTGCCATCCCTCCGTGTCCCCCATCACCACTGGCAGCTGCAACCAGACAAGCTCGTGCGGGTGATCACAGTCCATGATACCCACGTCTCAGTGTACGCCCCATCCCAATCTTCCACAGCCTTTGATCACAACCAGTTGCAATTACGGACTGCCGTTGTAAAGTGTGGGCTCTTATCGTCCTGTAGTGCGTGTGCAGCTCTTTTGTGCATCCCCTTTGCTCATCTCTGCCTGTTTCCGTGTGTGCTGCACTCTTCACTCTGTGTATTGCCTCGTGCCATGCTGCTTCTGCCTGTCTTCTCTATGCATGGGGGATGCCTGCCTTGGGTTCTCCCTCGACTGCTTGTAATCGTTCTCCAAGGACTTGGAATGTTGTTTTGAAGAGGCTAGTGCCACTATCCCACAGATGTTGCACACACCCCGCACGCTTGCCATGTATGCCACACACACACAGATGTTTTCATTGACTCGCCTTCGACCAATCTCTCCTTTTATGAGGCTCCTCTCCTCAACAGTCACTCTTCCCTCCCGCACAAACCCTCCCCTCCCCTCCCTCCCTCCCTCTGCAGCTCCTTCTCGTGTGCCGATGCTCGTCTCCTGCGAGCAGCCTTCAATGCCTTCATGGACTCGCTCATCCTCACATGCCCACCACCCAACCCCCCTTCCCTCCTCTCTGCAGCTCCTTCCCTTGTCCCGATGCTCGTCTGCAGCGAGCGGCTTTTAACGCCTTCATGGACTCGCTCATCCTCTCATTCCCACCACCATCCCACCCCCCCACCCTCCTCGGCAGCTCTTTCTCGTGCCCCGACGCCCGTGTTCTGCGCGAAGCTTTCAACGCCTTCATGGACTCACTCATCCTCGCTCCCCCATGCCATCCCTTTCTATCCCAACATGCACCACTGACCCCCTCTGCAGCTCCTTCTCGTGCCCTGATGCTCGTCTCCTGCGGGCAGCCTTCAATGCCTTCATGGACTCACTCATCCTCGCTGCCTGCACCATTTCCCTAGGCACCTCAAAGTCCTATCCCACCATCCTTCCTCCCCCTCCTTTTGCAGCTCCTTCTCGTGCCCCGACGCTCGTCTGCTGCGGGCGGCCTTCAACGCTTTCATGGACTCGCTCATCCTCGCTGCTCGCACCATCGAGGCATTTGGCCCGCCTCCGCCCATGCAACAACCATGCCTGCAATGATTCCCGTGTATGGCCCAGCGCAGCCCATCCCATCCCATCCCATCCCATCCCTCGCCGTCCAATCCAAGCCCATCCCATCTCAATGCAATGCTGTTTCCTCCCCGTTGGTTACCATCACCACACTTGTAGAAATTGAACACGCTCCCTTACCAAGCATTCAACCTGCTTTTCTCCTCCTTTACTTCCTTTCACTCACCCTCTCGCTTTTTCTCCCTTATCCCAACACCACTCCTGATTCTCACTCCTCCCTCACTTGCCTCACTTCCCCATTTGGGATTTGTTCACTCCACAAACGCTCTCTTTCCTTGCTACCCTTGATACAAGGCTCCGAGGCACATCATTCCACCCAGTATCTTGCATCTGCTAGATGACCCTGAACGCATGCACCGATGCATCATGCACCCATATACTCATGTACCCACATACTCACGCACCCATGCACCCAGTTAGCCCTGCACCCACATAGTACCCACGCACCGATGTAACCACGCACCCATGAAACCACGCACCCATGAAACCACGCACCCATGAAACCACACACCCATGCACTCATACAACCATACACCCACATACCCATGCATCCATATACTCATGTGCACATGTGTACATGCGCACTTGTAGGCATGCATCCATGCAGATATGCACCCATGTACCTATGCACACATGTACCGACCAGTGCACTCATGTACCCATGCACACATGTACCAACCGATGCATTCCCATACACCCATGCACACATGTAACCCCATGCAGGCATGCGGTGGAGGTTCCAAGTATCATCATGCCTAATACCTGTATCCCCAGAAGCAGTTAGGATTGTTCCAATAGTTAGAACAAAACATGTCCCTCTGAGATGCCCTGGTTCAATTTTTGCTGGATTCTGTTCTGCCCCAGCTGAGGTTCTAAATCAACCCTTGCACCAGATTGATTCCTTTGAAGAAACAGCGCTTGATGACCCTTCGATGCAAGCATACGGTATTGAGGGTTCCTTCCACACAAAAAAACTCAGATGACAAGCATTGATCCTCTGTTTTAGTGCTGTGGTGCAATCTTCCTACCAAGCTGCATTGCTTTCATGGAGATGACAAAACAAAGACTGTGTAATGTAATTGCAAATTACAAGTCTTACCATACTCATAGAGCAAAGCTACAAGTAAAGACTAGTAATATACAGTGTACAGAATTCATACTCTGCATCACATATTCCCAACAGCAGCTGGGAGTTGTTCCATTGTCACAATTATTCCCGCACATCCTTGAGTGTTGTACCCATGTATGTTCTCATTTTGAGTGCAATCATTCCGATGCTGGCTCTTTCAGGAGCTCCTTCTGTGCGTCCTGCTGCTGCTGCTGCTGCAGCCTGGCTTCGCCTGCCTCTCATGCACCAAACCCTCTCTCCTCCCCGCCTGCTGCTTCACCCCCTCCCTGCCACACACGCCACTTGCCACTGCTCTGCCACCTGCTGCCTTCACACCACCCTGCCTTCCACCTGCTGCCCTCCCTGCTGCTCCCTCCCCACACCCAACCCCCTCTCGCCTCTTCACCCCACTCGCCTGCCTGCTGCTGGCCTTGCCACCTGCTCTCACTGATGATGCACCACCACGTGATCCCGCAACAAAAGCTGCTGCTGCACGTGGGCCAGAGACTGCAGCATTGCTGCTGATATTGCCACCCTTCACACCAGTGCTCACCGCCTTGCCACTGCACCCATTCTTGCCCTTCACGGTTTCACCCCCCACCTTGCACCTTGCTGCAACGGCAGGTCTTGACTGCTTTGCTGCTGCTGAAGATCCTCTCACTGGTGATGTCGCAGCAGGTAATTTCACAGTTGTTGCAGCTGCACGCGAGGGAGCAACTGGTGCTGCGGACTCTGCTACAGTCGCTGCAGTTGCAGATACAGGAGGAACTGTTTTAGCAGGCGCGATCCAAGCAGGAAGGCAGGCTTCAATGGCGGCTTCAATGTCCCTGGCCCACGTTGCCTGGTCCAGCTTGGCCCATCTCAGGTAAGCAGCACGTGCTCTCAACTTTGTCATTTCAACATCCATTGCAAGAACATCCTGACGCAGCTTGTCCCATCTGGCTTTCTGCTCACGCTGATCAGCAGTACCTGCACTCGCCTCCTCCGATATTGCTTCTGTGGTCACACTCGCTTCAGGCACCTGTGGTGTGGTTGAAGCCACTGGAGCCACAGGCGCTGCCACGGCAGACGGTGTGACTGCAGCAGCAGCAGCAGTGACGACCGCAGGTGCAAGAACGGCAGCAGCAGGCTTTCCTCCGAAGCGGCCGATCCCAGGCCGCTTCACATCAGGTGCGTCGGGTACATGCACCCTGGAGGGCTTGTGCTGGCCGTCAGGGAGGTGTTTCGCCAGATTCTCCAGAAGCGGCCTCACGCTCTTTAGAAGCACGCTGCTGAAGTACGTCTCACCGTCGCCGTTGCAAGGAGCAGGCTTGGCAGGAGAGTATCTTACAGGCGAGAAAACGGTTCGCGGGGTTCCGAACCTGCCAATGCCTCTCGTAGGCGTTGCAGGACTGCTCGAGGTTTGAGAATCCGAGTTCATAGTGCAGATATCAGCAAGAGAGGCCATGTTACTTGACTGCAGATCGCTGAACAGAAACTGATCGATTGAAACAGGCTGATTTCTGAAAAGGTTATTCACTGCTGATCGACAGAACGGAAGAGGAACTGGGAATGGTAGGTTCCAACCCTGGCGACCCCATTTCTACTGCACTCCGCCCTCGGCTGCTCAACCCCCCCTCCTTCCACCCCCACATGCCTGAACATTGGAGTTCCAGCCTCGGCGTGCCTCGCTGTCTACCCATGAGCATGCCATGCCATACAAATCTGACGGTTGGGAACCTGGCAGCGAGGCGTGTGGGTGGATTTCAAGGCGTCTCTCGCTGGGGTTCAGGTTCGGGATCTTGATGGCGCCGCGTCAGGCGTAAACAACGGGGGTGGGAGGTTCGGGAACATCCTATTGGTGTCGGTGCGTTTCGGATTCGTGAGACCTCGAGGCGCCCCAACAACTTTCCCGCTCATTTTCGTCCTCGGTTTTCCCCTAGCCATTTCTGGGGCGATTTGTTACGATAAATATAGTGGAAACACGTTTCGCTAACGACTTTGCGACGCAATAAAAAAACTCTACGCGACGGTCCTACAGGGATGTAGAAAGCATGGCGGCTGAGGAAATGCAGAGCCGAGGGATTGGGTTGCTGAATCTGAATGAGCAGGCCTTGGGATTTGCGCCTGTGTGTTGGTGAAGAATCAAGCGGGGAGGGATAATCTGTGTTGTCCGCTCTATAAGATTTCTGAGCTCCGTCGCTAAGTTCACTGGTCGGAAATTCAGTCTGTATGGCAATGTTCAATTTGGGTGCTTTCCGCTTTATAAGCTATGTGAGCTCGCTAGTTCATTGGTTGGAAACTCAATCTGTTGGCAACGTTCAATTCCTGTGTTCGAGGTGTTCAAATAAGAAGATCCTGCGATACAAAGCGGTTCGAAAAGTAAATGTCGCGGTGCAGCGTGTTTTGGTGAACGAAAACCCTTTCTTGGTGACCAAGACGAAATCCCCCAGAACTCCAATTTTGCTTGATTACAATTTGCACAAGCTACGGATGCACAATTACAAGCGCACACAAGCGATTACGAGCGCGCGTTCCAGCGATTACGAGTGCGCGCTCAACGATTACGAGCGCGCGGTCAAGCGATTACGATTGCACTGGCGATTGCGCTTGTTGGCCTTATCACGAATCATAATCGAAATTAATCGCACAAGTGATCACTGTTCTAGGGATTCACATATGAAATGCGGTTTTCACCCGCCGTTTGATGCTGGCGGGAAATGCGAACTCTCAGACCAGCTTCGCCGATTCCCTCTGGACGAGCAGGCAAAGCGGAATGAGGGTAATGGACGGAATGGGCGACACGAAGAGCAGAAGGCGAGGATGGAGGCGAAGGGGGGAGGAACGAAATTCTCACAGGCCGTTTCCTCCTGTCGCGCGCTAATATGGCCGCGCTTATGTGACGTGGCTGGTGGGAGAGGTGGGGGATACGGGTTGCGGGGGGACGGAAGGAGCAGGAGAAGGGCGTTGGATGTGGAGCGGAAGCAAGGGGCGGGAGAGACGAGGGGAGAGGGATGGGATGTCCAGCAGAGAGCAGCGGAGTGGAGTGCAGCGGAGGGAAGTGCAGCGGAGTGAAGTGCAGCGGAAATAACTGCGAGGGGATGTAAGCTGCGCAATGGAGTGAAGTCCAGGGGAGACAAGTGCAGCGGAGGGAGGGGAGAGGGAGGGGATGTCCATCAGGAAGGGCAGTGCAGCGGAGTGAAGTATGCTGCGCAGTGGTGGGGGGAGTGAAGTATGCTGCGCAGTGGTGGGGGGAGAGAAGTATGCTGCGCAGTGGTGGGTAGGGGGAGAGAAGTATGCTGTGCAATGCTGCGCAGTGCTGGCTCCATTTGACATACATGACGAGGTATGCTGTCAGGGTCCACTCCTGCATGCTCGCATGCTCGTGCATGCATTCGTGATGCATGCACTGCACATATATACATGCATGTTGCACGCACATGGCATCGCATCAAGCGATACATGCATGTCACTCACATGCCCTCCACCCACAGCACCCGCGCTCGCCCTCTCCGCTGCTCCCCGCGCACCTCTGCCCTGCCCTTCGCCCTGCCCCTCCTCTCCGTTTCATCATCTCCCCCATCCCCTCCCATTCTCTCCCATCCCCTCCCAATCTCCCAGAATCCTCCCCCTCCCATTTCTCCTCCATCCTCTCCTATTCTCCTTACTTCGTCGTCATTTGCCCTTCTTTTCCTCTCTGTTTCACTTCGCCCTTATATTTCCCTTTACATGCGCTCCCCCACAGTCAGAAGTGCTGCACCTGTAATGACAACATGGGAGAAAGTGACCATCTATGGCTTGACATACTTCCCTGCCATGTCAGCAGCTGGAATCCATGTCAGAAGATGGAATGCCATGTGAAAACCTGGAATGCCACGTCAGCAGCTGGGCATGCCATGTGAGCAACCATGTGTGTACAGTGTACATGACGAAATTTTATGCACTGAATCATCCCGTGTGTGTGTGTGCACTGAACGATGTCATGTGTGTGTGTGTGTTATGCCATGTGTGTGTGTCCACTGAATTATGCCATGTGTGTGCTTGCACTGAATATGCCATGTGTGTGTGTACCTATCATACATTCCATCTCCCATCACCCCTAGCTGCTCTCATAATTTCTTGACTTTCCCATCGTCCCTTGCTGCCTCCATCATCCCCTGCTGTTCCAAACAGCCAGGAAATCGCTCTTGATCCTCCCATCATCCTTGCTGTCCCGTATCTCCATTTCTCTCAAAAGTAAGCAGTTTTTTCATATTTTTAATCCAACCTGTTGTATTAATGCTTTTATCCCTGCTCGGTTGGTTTTATGTGTGTGCTTCGGACCAAATCCCAACCTATCCCATCCCATTCCATCCCATCCCATCCCATCCATCCCATCCCATTTCATCCCATCCCATCCCATCCCATTCCATCCCATCCCATCCCATCCCATCCCATCCCTTACCTTCCCTTCCCTTCCCATCCCATCCCATCCCATCCCGTCCCGTCCCATCCCATCCCATCCCATCCCGTCCCATCCCGTCCCGTCCCATCCCATCCCATCCCATCCCATCCCATCCCATCCCATCCCATCCCATCCCATCCCATCCCATCCCATCCCATCCCATCCCATCCCATCCCATCCCATCCCATCCCATCCCATCCCATCCCATCCCATCCCAGCCCAGCCCAGCCCATCCCATCCCATCCCATCCCATCCCATCCCATCCCATCCCATCCCATCCCATCCCATCCCATCCCATCCCATCCCATCCCATCCCATCCCATCCCATCCCATCCCATCCCATCCCATCCCATCCCATCCCATCGCATCCTATTTCATCCAAATCACCAAGCCCATGTGCCCATGTATCTATGATCATGCCCAAATCACCAAGCCCATCCTACACATTCATGTGGGTGGAGGTGCCATGTGCATCTACTGATGCTGCGCTGCGCCAGTTGAGGAACCTTGTCTGCTGGAGAATAGATGTGCTTATTATTCATCAGTACGCAAAGTAGAGTGAACAGTCCCATGAAAAGTATGGAATCCCGTTGAATTCCCACAAGCCATCACCTTAAAAACCAGCTGTAGCCAAGAGGACATTCTGACAATACTTTGATCTGTATGAGGCAGAACTGTTTATAAATCATCATTCTATCCAAATGAGATAACAAATACATTTTATATGGATTTCAACTTACAAGTAAGGGTCATGCCCTAGCAGAAACAAATGCAACATGTTCTAGTAATATACAGTGTACACATCACTGCCTACAAGTCATTACGTACTCCCAACGACAGCTGGGAGTTGTTCGGTTGGTGTCACCGTTGTTCCACCGCACCATTCAATGCAGCCACATGTCTATGTACAGTTGATGCTCTTCATGAATCCCCTCCGCAGCTCATGCCCTTCAGGGTTGTGAGGAGGAGGCCCTTCCCAGCAGCAGGTGGGAATGCCGGCAATGCACTGAGGGCTCTAACAGGAGCTCCTTCTGTGCGCCCTGCTGCTGCTGCAGCCTGGCTTCGCCTGCCTCTCATGCACCAAACCCTCTCTCCTCCCCGCCTGCTGCTTCACCCCCTCCCTGCCACACACGCCACTTGCCACTGCTCTGCCACCTGCTGCCTTCACACCACCCTGCCTTCCACCTGCTGCCCTCCCTGCTGCTCCCTCCCCACACCCACCCCCCTCTCTCCTCTTCACCCCACTCGCCTGCCTGCTGCTGGCCTTGCCAGCTGCTCTCACTGATGATGCACCACCACGTGATCCCGCAGCAAAAGCTGCTGCTGCACGTGGGCCAGAGACTGCAGCATTGCTGCTGATATTGCCACCCTTCACACCAGTGCTCACCGCCTTGCCACTGCACCCATTCTTGCCCTTCACGGTTTCACCCCCCACCTTGCACCTTGCTGCAACAACAGGTCTTGACGCCTGTGCTGCTGGTGAAGCTCCTCTCACTGGTGATGCCGCAACAGGTGATTTCACTGTTGTTGCTGATGCTGCAGAGGGAGCAGCTGGTGCTGCGGACTCTGCTACAGTCGCTGCTACAGTCGTTGCAGTTGCAGATACAGGAGGAACTGTTTTAGCAGGCGCGATCCAAGCAGGAAGGCAGGCTTCAATGGCGGCTTCAATGTCCCTGGCCCACGTCGCCTGGTCCAGCTTGGCCCATCTCAGGTAAGCAGCACGTGCTCTCACCTTTGTCATTTCAATATCCATTGCAAGAACCTCCTGACGCAGCTTGTCCCATCTGGCTTTCTGCTCACGCAGATCAGCAACACCTGCACTCGGCTCCTCCAAAAATGCTTCCGTGGTCACAGACGCTTCAGCCACCTGTGGTGTGGTTGACGCCACTGGAGCCACAGGCGCTACCTCAGGCACCACCACAGGCGCAACCACAGCAGACGGTGTGACTGCAGCAGCAGCAGCAGCAGCAGCGGTGACGACCACAGGTGCAGGTGCAAGCACGGCAGCAGCAGGCTTGCCTCCGAAGCGGCCGATTCCAGGCCGCTTCACATCAGGTGCGTCAGGTACATGCGCCTTGGAGGGCTTGTGCTGGCCGTCAGGGAGGTGATTCGCCAGTTTCTCCAGCAGCGGCCTCACGCTCTTCAGAAGCACGCTGCTGCAGTACGTCTCACCATCGTCGTTGCAAGCAGCAGGTTTGGCAGGAGAGTATCTTACAGGCGAAAAAACGGCTCGCGGGGTTCCGAACCTGCCAATGCCTCTCGTAGGCGTTGCAGGACTGCTCGAGGTTTGAGAAACCGAGTTAACAGTGCAGATATCAGCAAGAGAGGCCATGTTACTTGACTGCAGATCGCTGAACAGAAACTGATCGTTGGACGGAGGCTGATTTCAGAAAAGTTTATTCACTGCTGATCGACAGAGCGGCAGAGGAAGTGATCATGAAAAGTTCTAACTGTAGCGACCCCATTTCAACTTGCATCCCGTCCTCGCCCGCACAAACCCCCGCCTCCAAGCCTAGATGCCTCGTCTGCCTCATCATTGGAGTTCCAGCCTCGGCTGCGTCGCTGTCTACTCGTTAACGTGCCACGTCACGAGAATCGAACGGTGGAAAAACTAGGAGCTAGGTGTGTGGACGGATTTCAAAGAGTCCTTTTCTGGGGGTTCAGGTTCGGGAAATTGGTGGCGTCGCGTCAGGCGAAATCTGCGGTTTGGGAGGCTTGGAGGCATTCTCTCTGTGTCGGTGAGTTCAAGGTCGTGGGTCCGTCGAGGCGCGTAACCATTTTCCCGCCACTCTTTCGCACAAGATTCCTAGCCGTTTCTGGTCGCTTTTGTTACAACGGTTGTAAAAGAGGGATATACACTCCTCGCCGAAGCTTTTCGCAAGGAAATCGTTCATCGCCATGGAAAGCGTTTTCAGGGATGGCTGAGGGAACGCAGAGCTGCGGGATTCCTCGGCTGCTGGATTCAGATAAGCAGCCTTAGGGATTGACGTCAGAAAGTGGAGATTTGAATGGAGGAGGATTTGCGTTGTACTCCCTAAAAGAATGCTCTTTACCTTGTGTAAAACATCTAGCGCCTTAACCGAACTTATTGGAAAATAAATCCTTAAAAGGAGGTGATTTTCACAAAAAGGAGCTTCTGTGATATACCGGTACCAAGATTTTCACATTAAATGTCAGTTCTCCCAATTCTTCAGAGAAACATGAGCTTCATATTCTGGAGAAACGTAACCTCAATTACAGTAGCAGTGTCATGTCATGGGCAAGGACACTTCGCTCATCATTGTGACGTGACCTCAACCTCATCCTGATTTATCTCGTTAACAGAGATACAAAGGTTCCATAAGAATCCTGTCAATAGTAAGGTTCATAAACGGGTTTTTTTCTATCAGATTTCATGGGTAAAGAATATCAAACACACTGAGTTGAGCTTGTTGACATATACTGCCATAGGGCCTGTACTGCAACCATGGCACACTCAGGTGGGACCAAACGCAGACCAGAACGACCCTGCAGATGCGGCCTGCTGCTGTTGCTGCTGCCGGGTGATATAGTCCACAACATGAGGCACGGAGCCCATGACCACCACCCTGCCGCCATCCATGTATGCCGCCCCGTCTGCAAACTGTAGCTCCTCCAGCCGATGCGTCACCCACAGCGCTGTCACCCTCCGCCCCCCCCGCCCCCTGCTGCTGCTGCCGCTGCTGCTGACTGCACTTCTGTCTGTGCTGCTGCTTTCTGTGCCGCTGTGTGCGGTGTTGCTGCTGGTGCCTGGAGAGCTGCCCGACACCACATTGCGCACTGCCTTGATGACTGCGAACTGGGGTGGGAGATAGGGGTGACGAGAATCGGTAATATGGGATGTGGGGAAAGGAACCATGGTCGTTACTCCATGTTGAATGAACCACACTCTCGCATGCACTGCATGGATGTCCAGATTGAGCTGCATTGATGACTGCGTACTTAAGAGGGAGACTGGGAAAGGAGGACGACGGGATAGCAAGAGAAACGGAGCAAAAGAGGCAGACTGACAAATCCTGCAGTGACGCATGTCAGATGTGGGATAGACGGAGTCAGCAAGTGGAGTCACTCAGGCCCCATAACAATCAAAACGCAAGTGCATCAAGTGCACTCGGGGAGCTTCTGAACCACAGAGAGAGGCACACACACGTTCTGAACGATTCACCACTCGAGAGTGCTCGTGGGAGGAAGGTCGGGAGGAAGGTCAGGGGAAGAATAGAGGAAGCGGCGCAGAGGGTTTTGCAGCGGGAGGAAGCTGCATGGAGTGGGCGGCAGGGAGGGGCAACAGGTAAGGGGTTTGACCTGGTCTTGGGAGTCAAGGAAGGTGGTGAGCTCGTCCAGCAGCAGCGTGTGTGAATCCTCCGCCAGTGCCCCCGCTATCGCCACCCGCTGTTTCTGCCCGCCACTCAGTGTTGACACCAGGCGCTGGCGGGGAGACGAACAATGAGGGGAACAGAGAGAAACGGGTGATTGTCAGCGGATGGTTTTGAAGGAGGAGAGATGGACAGTCGTGTGAGTGGCACGGCATGGCACGCAATGCTTCTGCCCACGGATGATTGTTGAGTTGACATAGGCGCAGGGGCGCAGGAGAGATGGAGCAGTGAGGAACAAAGTGAGCCCCACCGAGGAGCAAAGGGGACGCTATATCTGCTGCCACTGCCCCTGCCATGCCCACCCCTCCCCTCCATTTCTCCGCGTCAACCATAACTGTCCACTGTTTCGACTCTCAGACGTTCGTAGGTTGACCTTTTAAGACGACTACAAGCCAGCTCACCCCCTCAACCAGCCATGACCACCGTTTGTGCTGTGATATGTTCCATTGGTCGTACTGACCGCTGCTCTCGGCCACTTTCCCAAACCGCCCTCACCTGCCTCCTCTCACCTGCCCATACTCCTCTCACCTGCCCATACTCCTCTCACCTGCCCATACTCCTCTCACCTGCCCATACTCCTCTCATCTGCCCATACTCCTCTCACCTGCCCATACTCCTCTCACCTGCCCATACTCCTCTCACCTGCCCATACTCCTCTCACCTGCCCATACTCCTCTCACCTGCCCATACTCCTCTCACCTGCCCATACTCCTCTCACCTGCCCATACTCCGCCATGCCAACGGCCTCCAGGGCCTCTGCCACGCGCCGCTGCACCTCCTCCTCTGGCAGCGGCGGGTTCAGCCGACCCAGCCCGAACGCCACGTCAGCATTCACAGTTGGCATGATGACCTGGCAGCAAGGGCCAAGTGGGTGGAGGGAGGGATAGGGAGAGGAGGGGCATGGATGGAGGCATGGTGGGGAAGAGAGGTGGAGAGGGGGGTTGAGACGACATGTGGGCGTGAGTGGGCAGCAGCGCGACAGCGTGGCGATAGTGGCCCGTCAGTCACCTGCAGCAACACCTGGCACCCACCTGATAGTCAGCACATGCCAGGCGGTCACCGGTCACCTGGCACCCACCTGGCACCCACCTGATCACACCTGGTGGTCCAGGTTCTGTCACCTGAGCACACCTGGTGGTCGGGGTTCTGGAAGACGAAGGAGCGAGGTGCGTCCACTCTCAGCCGCCCACTGTTGGGCTGCAGCAGCCCCGCTAGTACCTGCTGGGGGGAAGGGGGGGGACAGCACAGTGCAGAGCGGTGTGGCATGATGCAGAGAGGTGCATCCACTCGCGGCCGAAATCCCCACCTTGATCAGCGTTGACTCTCTCCCACCTTGACCAGGGTTGACCTTTTCACACCCACCTTGAGCAGCGTTGACTTGCCACACCCGTTGGGTCCCAGTAGCATCCACAGCTGCCCTTCGGGCACACGCAGGCTGCATTCTCGCAGCACCTGCATGCAACGATATTGACGGATTCGGTAAGTGAAATTGGGATTTGGTAAGTCTAAGTCAGCAGACGAATCAGCAACATCCACAGCTGCCCTTCAGGCACGAGAAGGCGGCACCTGCGCGCGCCCCAGGCTCAGGCTCAACCCCTCCACGTCGATCGCCGCGCGCCGCCCCGAGCTCCCTCCGCTCTCGCTCTCGTCGCTGCTGCTCGCTGCCGCGTAGCCCGCGGTCGCCGTGACAGTCGCCGTGCGACGGCTGCGATAGGATAAAGTTCGTCTGGCGACGCCGCGTGCGACGGAAGGGGGAGAAAAGGCGGAGGTGGACGGCGGGAGCGGGCAGGCAAGAGTGTGCTCGTGGCGGAGGAGAGCGGCGGCGGGAGCACATGGGGCGGAGACAGGATGCGCGGAGGCGAGGTGCGCGGCGGCGACGAACGGACGGTCCATACTGCGACAGCGCGTACACGACACGATGCTGATGCTTCCTGGTTTAGCCGCACATTTCCCTAGGGCATTCACGAGTCTTAGAGTACGCGCTGTAGGGTGTGTAGGGAGTTCAAAATGGGTAACATAAATAAGTGAAACCCATCTTTGCTTAGTTTTCAAATCAGAGGAATATTCGCTTATCCGTCGTTTGACGCGGTTCAGTGCGTTGAACCACATTTAAGAGCGGTTATTTGTTTTACCGCATTAAACCATCGCAGACCAGTTTGAACCGAGAGGAAAACTCACGCCCTGAATACCCCAGCTGACTTGCGCTCCAACAGCGAAGAACCCACGGCTCATTCTTGCTTGGCACATGAACTCGCGCCTCGCGTTCCAGGTGGTAGCCCGCAGAGCATATAGTTCTTCGTTCCAGAACTGGGTGACCGCGCATTCGTGTTACCTCCGAGCGTCTATCGCACCCGCAAGTCGTGCCGATTGTTACTAGGACCTGCTTTAGGAACCACTGAGGAGCCATCTTCGTCGCTGGTTCCCACGACCGACAGTGAAGGTCACCTCGTCTGCCTCGCTTTTTTCATTGGTTAGGGTTCGTTTCGCTCTTCGTTTCTATCCGCCTCGCATTCTCGCCGCGCGTTAGCGTCCCGCCATGTCGGTGGCGGCAGGCGTCAGCGATGCGGCGATTGCGATCCGGGAGAAGCTTCGAGGAAGGATCGCGCAGACGAAGGTGAAGCGGTACTGGCCGGGAAAGGCGCCGGAATGGGCGGACGACGCGGAGGAGGCGCGCGGGGGCGTGTTCGGGGAACCGGAGGACGAGCGGGAAGAAATTGGGGACCGGCTGACGCGCGTTAGGGTTTCCGAGAACGACGCGCGGCTCCGGCGATTAGGAGAAAGCCGGCGCGACAGGGAGGAGGCCGTGGCGCGGCATCGGGAGATCCGTGCGGCGGAGATTGTCTCGACGCGGGAGGAGGAGGAGAGGAAGCAGCAGGAGCGCGAGGAGGAGGAGGAAGAAGAGGATGAAGATGCTATTGAGGAGCGACGGCGGAGGATACGCGAGAGGCTGTTGCAACGGCAGAGGGAGGAGGAGGAGCTAGCAGCGTTAGGGGAGGGCGAGGAGGAGGAGGAAGAGGAGGAAGAAGAGGAGGACTCGTCTGAGTATGAGACAGATTCGGAGGAGGAAGGGGGCGGTATGGCTATGATTAAGCCTGTTTTCGTTCCCAAGGGCGAGCGCGACACGGTTGCGGAGCGCGAGCGCGTGGAGCAGGAGGAGCGCGATTTGGAGGAGGCGGTGCGGCGGCGCGTGGAGGAGCGCAAGGCGGAGACGCGGCGGCTCGTGGTGGACGACGTGCGGCGCGAGGAGGAGAAGGAGCAGCAGCGCGCGGAGGACGGCGGCGGCGCGGAGGGTGACGGCGCGGGGGCGGCGGCGGAAGACGTGGAGACGGACGACGAGATGGACGCGGAGGAGGAGTTCGAGCGGTGGCGCGCGCGCGAGAAGGCGCGCGTGCGGCGAGAGCGCGAGGAGCGCGACGCGGTCGCGCGGGAGAAAGAAGAGCGCGAGCGGATATCACGCATGACCGAGGAGGAGCGGCGCGAGTGGGAGCGGCGCAACCCCAAGGCGGCGCCCGCGGGCAAGACGAAAACGAAATGGAAGTTCATGCAGAAATACTACCACAAGGGCGCGTTCTTCCAGGCGGGCGCGGACGACAAGGGCGGCACGGCCGGCACGGACGAGATTTTTGCAAGGGATTACTCGGAGGCGACTGGGGAGGACCGGCTGGACAAGAGCGTGCTGCCCGCCGCCATGCAGGTGAGTGCGATTTACGCATGCAGGTGGGCGTGCTGTGGTGAGGAGGTTGTGGGGAGGTGCCTGGTTAGGGAGGGGGGCGGCTGTGTGTGTGTTTGTCCCTCTGCTGTGCCGTTGCTCCTCTGCTCCCATTCCCCGTGCTTGCTTCCTCTCATCGTCTCCTCTCCGGCCACTCTCACTCCATTTCCTTCCCTTACCACCTTAACTCTCTTGTCTCGTCCCCTTTTTCGCGTGTCCCGATGTTCCCATGTCCCCGTGCCTGTGTGCCTTGCTGTGGTGGGTGTGTTGTGTTGTGTTGTGCTCTGGTGTCCGGTGCTGTGCGGTGAGAGCAGGTGAAGCACTTTGGGCGCAGTGGGCGGAGCAAGTGGACGCATCTGGTGAACGAGGACACCACCCAGCAGGACTCCCCGTCAGTACCTCCCGCCCTTGCCCCCACTCGCCCTGCCCCCATCCTCTTCCGCCACTCCCTGCCCCCATCCCCTGTCCGCTTCACTCTCTATAATTCCTTTTGCATTCCGCACATGCTTGCTTTCGAACTTTGAACCATCCCACACGCATGTCTCTCTCCCCTCAACCCCACACTACCTTCTCAAACCCACACTGCCCCCTCAACCCCACACTACCTTCTCAACCCCACACTACCTTCTCAACCCCACACTGCCCCCTCAAACCCACACTGCCCCCTTAAACCCACACTGCCCCCTCAAACCCACACTGCCCCCTTAAACCCACACTGCCCCCTCAAACCCACACTATCCCTCCACCACCCCCTTCTCCCCCCCGTCAACAGGTGGGCATACAACGATGCACTGAGGGCGCGCTACGAGCGAGGTCCAACAACAAGATGGCGGGGATGGACAAGCCCTTTCCAACCTCAACCCCACACTCCCCCCTCACCCCCGCACTACTTCTCTCCCTCCCTCTCAGGTGGGCATACAACGACGCCCTACGAGCGAGGTACAACAACAAGATGGCGGGCATGGACAAGCCACTGGAGAAGCCCAAGGGCAGCAAGAAGCTCAAAAACGCGCTGCACAACCCGTGAGGCGTGCCATGCATGCACAATGCTCCCTTGGTTCGACTGGAAAATCACAAGGCACTGGAAAAGCGCAAGGGCAGCAAAAGGCAAGAAAAGGCAGAGCGGGACACGTGCCAGGGCTCCCGAGGCATGGTGCGCTGCCGGGCCTGAGGCGGGCATGCTTGCTTGGTTTGCTGCACGATGCGCCATGTTTTTTTAAATCTTCTGGTTGTTTATGCCAGCTGTAATGCTCTGCCATTGGGCCTTGTCGCCGTGGTAATTGAATTGCGTGCTCTGCTCTGGACTTTTATTACCTAGGCTGGCTGGCTCTACCTACTTCAGAGGCACAAATGGTGCTGCGATGCAAGCTTACAGCTACAGCAGCACCACGTCCCTGGCAATGAATGAATTTCCTCCATGTTTTGCGTATGGTTAAAATGATTCATAAGGCTAATGATACTAACATTCCAATAGCAATTAGTTGCATCTTGCAAAAGAATGTGTCCCCAAGGTGGGTCACCTGTAACAGTGTTAAAGAACAGAGACGGTTGTGCATGCAGAGGGGGTGTTGTGGGTGCATGCAAGGAGCAAGCTATGCTACCAGCACAGAAGGAAGGTTCAAGAGGAAGCACTAGTCCTCGAACCAGCTGACGACGGCTCGGGTGGCAGAGGCGATGAGGGAGGGGATGAGGACGAAGAAGGTGATGAAGGCCATGGCCGTGGCGGCCTTGGTGCGCGCACAGAAGCTGGAGAAGAGCCCCATCTGCAGCAGAGGGGCAGGGGCGGATGGGGCAAGAAGGAGCAGTGCAGCATGTGATTGAGGTGCCTCAAAGGCGGTGCGGCCTTGGTGCGGGCACAGAGGCTGGAAAAGAGACCCATCTGCGCTCACAGTGGCCGTGTCGAGAGGGGGGAGGGGGGAGTCTGGAGTGGGGCATGCACGCAGGCAGGGGAGGGCAGTGCTTGCAGTTTAGGTAAAAGCACTGGCCGTGGCGGCCTCGGTGGTGCACAGAAGCTGGAGAAGAGCCCCATCTGCGCTCAGACAGTGAAGCATGCAGGAGAAGTGATGCACGCATGCACAAAAGCAAGGGAGAGCAGTGCTTGCAACTTGGGTGAAGGAGGAAAGTGTGTGTAAGAGGGTGTGTGTGTAGGAGGAAGGCATTGTGCAGCTGGGTTGAGAGGTGTGTGTAAGAGTAGACCACAGACTGTCCTGGGGACCAAGAAGCAACGGCAAGCAACAGTCACAGAGAGCACTTTTGAGTCGACTCAAAAGTCATCCTGGGGACCAAGAAGCAACGGCAAGCAACAGTCACAGAGAACACAAAGCTGAGATTGCAGGCGCTTTGTTCGGCCCCTTTCTGTTGTAGGTTGATTGCGAGAATTCTCAAAATCAGCCCCTGGCTTGTAAACTGTTTAATCCGCTGACTTTCAATTGTTAAGTGTGTGATGTCTCTGATTTTTCAGCCTGTCTCAAAGCCAATCTGAGGGCATGCGGGAAAGCACCTGGCACTACCCCACTGCACCAACCAATCCCCACCCACCTGGCAGTACCCCGGCTGCACCATTCCCGATCCCTTGTCGGCAAAGCTGGTGAGACCCGCTGCAGCAGAGGCACCCGCCAGAGCGATCCATGCCACCAGCTGCACGGAGGATAGGGGGGCGAGTGGTGGAGGGATGGGGCACAGGGAGAGGGGATGAATGTGCGGGTTACAGGTAATGCCAGGCAACTTTCGAGTCACCTTGCTGCAGCAGAGGCACCCGCCAGAGCGATACACGCCACGAGCTGATTGGGGGACAGGGGGGCGAGTGGTGGAGAGATGGGGCACACAGAGGCGCCTCAGAAGTTGTTGCAGCAGAGGCGCCAGCGAGAGCAATCCACATCACCAGCTTCTCAGAGGACGGTGGGGCAAGTGGTGGACGGATGGAGAACAGAGATAGGGGTGTTGTGAACCGGCAGGTGATGTCAAGCACACGTGCACATGGGTGGTTTGAGAGTACGAAAGAACTTGTCATCATGTCATGTAGCAGGGGGATTGGTGGAAGCACAGGCGATGGCTTGCGGGCGTGGAGTGAGGGCAAACGGCAACAGGGCTCAACTTATGGGCAGAGAAGCAAATGCTGGGGGAGAAATGGAAAAGGAGGGAAGCAGGGGACGATGGTGAGAGGAGGAAGAGGGTGTGAGGCAGGAGGAAGGGGCAGCGGAAAGCAGGACAGAGGGGCGGCAGGCACTGACGAAGTCAAGGAGCGCGAAGAGCGTGATGCGCCACTTGCGCGTCATGAGGCGACCAATGGAGTGCAGCAGATGGGCGAGGCACCACGCTGCCACTGCTGTCATCGCCGCCACCATGAATATGAACGCCTGCGGAAGTGAGGAGGAGAGAGAGAAGGGCGAGAGAAGGGAAAAAAAGGGGGGAGAGGGACTTGAGATGTCAGTAATAGTGGCAGTGGCAGTGGCAGTGGCAGTGGAAGTGGCAGTGGTCGGCACGTTGTATTTATCTACCCAGCAACACTACGCAGCACTGCAGCTACACACCATCTACGCATACTATGCACCCCCAGCTGCCAGCGCCATCCACCTGGCAGCACAGTGCTGACCTGGCACTACCGAGCTGACGTGGCAGCAGCAGCACGCACCTGGTAGCACTGGAAGAACATGCCGTTGGCATTGGATGCCGTCATGACAGCCAGGGCGATCACAGCACGGCTGTAGCAAGCTGTAGCACCAACACACCAGCAGCACGGGCACTTTCAGCACGAGCACTTGCAGCACGCACCTGGTAGTACTGGAAGTACATGCCGTTGGAGTTAGAGGCGGTCATGACTGCCAGCGCGATGATAGCCGTAGCAAGCTGTAGCAGCCGCCAGAAGATGGTCTGCCCGCGCGCAAAGATCCGAGTCTCGCCGCCCAGCCCGCCGCCCATCTCCGCCAGCTTCTCCGAGCGAGCTGATTGGGATGGGATGGCAGAGCGAGACAAAGCGGCAAGCGGGAGGCTGGAGGGTATGAGAGAGGGAGCACGCACGGGGGTGACAGGTAGAGTGAGGAAGGCTGGAGGGTAGCGAGTGAGTGGGTGGTGACTGGTTGCATGCATGCATGGTGTGGTGGCCCCGAGGGGACCGTGTGTGCTTGCATTGGATGGAAAGCGGAACATGAAGGGGCGTGGCAGCGAGACGATGCAGGATGGTGGTGGATGGGATGACGAGGGGAAGGGAGGAGCGAGTGCGAGACAAGGGCTCGTGCGGAGCAGAGAGTCGCGTGCCTTGGCTTGGAGCAAAGCACCTCTCCTTGGGGCGCAGTGTGCCATCACGCTGCTGCCTCACTGCACGCTCAGAAAGGTTATCATCGTGTGCAGTGCGGCACTGCATGATGCTCACACCACGAACCACACCAAACCACAACACGCCAAAGTACCCAACGCAGCAGCCCACCGCCTTGGCCTGCCATGGCAGCAGAACCACCTCTTGCGTTGGGTTACTTGGTTACCAGGTGACAAGCCCCACTGCGCTTGATGCTAACTCACACGCGGGGCGACTCGCAGGGCGACCAGCGGTGGCGCGTGGGGGTGACCCTCCTAGAGTGCTACGTGGCGGCGAGCCTGCTGACGTGGACAGCGGAATGGGTCCACGTGGCGGCGAGCCTGCTGACGTGGAAAGCGGAACGGGTCCACTTGGCTGCTGGCCCCCTTCCTCCAGTATCCCTCGCCGCCCTAGTGACGTGTCATACGCCGCCATGGCCGCTGCTCCGTGTTATTCCTCTCCGCCCTCTGCGCTAGCCTGCTATCTTTGAACGTGAAACAAGGCTGCTATGGCTGTCACGCGAGAATCGTCGGCTCAGCGAGAAAACGACAGTGACGGGGAGCGATTGAGGTAAGGCGAGTGCGAAAAGAAGAGCGACTAGCGACTGGGTGCTGAAAGAGCCTCAACACGGAGACGGGTGGAGGCACGCGACGAATGGGCCGGAGGGGAAAAGGCTCGCTCGACAAAACTGCGCGCAGGCACGAAACGCTAGATGCGAGCGTGACGGCGTCTGCAGGGGCGGGTGCGAAGAGGCGGTAAGACGCGCGGCGATGTGGCACGAGGCGGCGCGGGAGAGCTGGTCGGGGATACGCGCGACGGCTGCGCGCGGAAGGAAGGAGAGGAAGGAAGCTTGCGCTTCCCGCTCCCGTCGAGCATTTCGCGAGGCGCGCGGGAGAGGGCGGAGAGCATCCTGGCGAGAAACGATGACGCGGGAGGTGCGGGGAGGTGCGGAGAGGGGGAAGGGTGTGGGGGGAAGCGGGCAGGTCAGGCGGCAGATCAGATCGACGGGGATGGGCAGGATGCCAGCTGGAGTGGCAGCGAGGGGGCGCCGCGTGGTGCGCGGAAAGAGGCAGCGCGGTGTGGCGTGCGGGGTCGCCGAGACGTGCATGCTTCCCCCCTTGCGGTCGCTCCCAGGATCGACGACAGGACGAGACGACGCGATCCCCTGCGATCTTGGCGATAATGCAAATGCACAGCTTTTGGAGAACATCGTGATTCGGTACAGCATGAGCAGTTAGCATCTGCATTTGTTAAGAAACAATACACTACAGCAAATCAACATGAGCTTATATTTACAACGTTCACAAACGGAAGGTTATAGTTCACGCGACTAGCAGCTGCAGCGCACGGTCACGGTCGTTGCCACATAGCGCCAGACAGCCTGCGACGGCGACCGGGTCAAAACCCATTTCTCTTAGCAACGTGTATGCATTGCAGAAGTCCACCACCTGGGAGCATGGGGGGAGGGGAAGGGACAGAAGCACAAGCACGGGCAGTACGAGAGGCGATGGTGAAACAAGCGGAAAGGATGGCTGGGGACAAGATACCTGGAGCAATTCATTTTTGCCACAACACCCGTGAGCAAGTGGCTTTCGCAAGAGAAGAAAGCATTGGCTTGGCAGTTTGCGACATGTGTGTTGAATGTGATTTTTGGGGATTCTCAAAAGACGTGTGTGGCATAAGTAACACCAGAATCAAGCAGCTATCCAGAAGGACACAGTCGTGGGGAAGCAAGCGAAGAGCTGGAAAGAGAAAGAGGGTTGCTCCTTCTGTCCTCCCCCCCTATAATGGTACCTGTGAGTGCGAGTCGCCGTGAATGGCGAGTGCCATGATGACTGCTTCTCTGTTCATGCCCATCTGTATGTACTTGCTGGCCCGTGGGTCCACCTACAGGGGAGTAGGACGGGCAGGGGCAGGGGAGGGGAGGTACAGGCCAGTGTTAGTGAGTGGGCATGACTGCCTCTCTGTTCATGCCCATCTGCATGTACTTGCTGGCCCGTGGGTCCACCTATGGGGATGAGAGGAGACACGGGCAGAGGACACGGGCGGTACAGGCAGGTGGTAGGTGTACGTACTTGCTGGCGCGTGGGTCCACCTGGAGAGATGAGATGAGATGAGATGAGACGAGACGAGACGAGACGAGACGAGACGAGACGAGACGAGACGAGACGAGACGAGACGAGACGAGACGAGACGAGATGAGATGAGATGAGATGAGATGAGACAAGAAGAGGAACAGGGAAGGGGATGGGGGGCACAGCACAGGGAGGCGTTGGTGGGTGGGTGATCGTGATCGCCTCCCTGCCCATGGCCATCTGTATGCACTTGCTGGCCCTTGAATCCACCTGTGATGGTACGTGGGGAGGGGAGGAGGGAGCACGGGGGAGGGGACAGGGGCTCGCCGGGGAGGGAAGGGAAGTACGTGCTGCATTACATCCCTTGTCCACGCCCACGTGCACGTACTTGCTTGCTCGTGGGTCCAACCAAAGGGTACTTTGTGCCAGATAGTGCCATCCATGGGGGGTCATTCCATTGAGAAAAGGGGCAAGTGGTGAGCGAGAGAGGGCGGCAGAGAGGGACCATTAATATGCCCCCATCTCTCGCCTCACCACTACTATTCACGCTGCACGGCCCCACCTCTCGCTGCACGGCCCCACCTCTCGCTGCACGGGTTCACTGGTGCGCTGGTGCAGCGCATGCCCTCCTCACCTCGTACAGCCAACACTCGCTTCACTGTCTGTTCTAACTAATGATGCCACTGGCTGTTCTCGCCACACTCTTTTTCGCCGCACATCCACACCTCGCGTTTCTCAGCCACACTGGTGCGCTGGTGCAGTGCCGACGGCTGCAGCTGCCTCTGTGTAAGGAGTCAACTTGAGCACACAAAGCTAACTACTCTGCAACTAGCTGACTTCACTGCAAGGCCCCACCTCGCGCTTCACGGCCACGCTGGTGCGCTGGTGCAGCGCCGACGCCTCGGACAACAGCTGCCTCTGTGTAAGGAGTCAACTCAAGCACACAACGCTAACTTCTCTGCAACCAGCTGTCTTCACTCACTGCGCGGCCCCACCTTGCGCTTCACGGCCACGCTGGTGCGCTGGTGCAGCGCCGCCGTCTCTCACAGGCGCTGCCTCTGTGTTTTGAGTCACCTCAGAACACACAAAGATAACAATTATGCAACTAGCCGCCCTCGCCCCACGTCCTTTCTGTGGCTTGTGTCAACTCAGAACACACGAGGCTAACCACTATGCAACTAGCTGTCTTCACAGGCCCCACCTCACGTTTCACGGCCACGCTGGTGCGCTGGCGCAGCGCGGATGCATCAGACAGCAGCTGTTTCTCCACGTCGAAGTCAAACGCCGCTGCGCTCACCGGCACCGCCTGCACTGGCGCTAGTGGAGGGGGCTGTGAGCAGGTGAATCAGGGTGGAGAGGGAAACGCAGAAAACATTTGAGTTGAGAGGGCACGTTGAAACCTACAAATTCTGGCGCCAGAGAAGGAAACAGTTGGACGAAAAGCTCGAGGGAAACGGAAAGGCGAGGTGCTATGGTGAGGGGAGGTGGTAACAGGCAGGTTGTCCCGTGGACGGGAGACAAGATGAACAGGTGGACATGGGGGTATTCGAAGGTAGGGAAGTAGAAAGGGGAGAAACACGACAAGACAATAGAGGAGAAAGGAGGATGAAGAGATGTGAAGCGAAGCAAAGAGGAGAAAGGAGAGACGGCGGGGAATCAATGCACGGGAGGTGCTCGTGTGAAGGAGGTGCGATGCGATGCACAGTGGTTTAGAGAAGCTGACCTGTGCAACCCGTAGCTGCGTCTTGATGGCCATGGCGATGGGCGCCGGGCCTACACGCATGGTGGGGGGGAGGCGCACCGCAAGGGAGGTGAGGGTTGAGGGGGGTGTGAGTTTAGAGAGATGTGATTCTAGGGATTCGAGTTCAGTAAGGTGATTTCTCGGTAGTTGTGGGTTCAAGGTAGCCACCGGATAAGTTACGCAAGGTGTGAGTCTAAGCTGCGAGCAATCCGCACCTGCAGTAAGCCCTGCCGCTCCGCCACCTGCGCCGTGTCCGCCCATCCCGCCCATTCCGCCCACTCCCCCCAAGCCCCCGCTAGGCGCACCCGCGCCGACGGCCGTCACGACCGGCATGTGAAGGGACGTGGCGCCCCCGCCGGAGAACGGGGAAGCGGACGGCACGGGGTGCGCCACGCGCGGGTACATGACGGCCGGCCCGCTGCCGGAAGGGGCAGCGCGGCGGTCGTATGCGCCGACGGCGGGGTAGGCGGACATGGGATGCCGCGCGGAGCCGACGAATTGCAAAAGTTGGCGACGGTTAGACTGCACCAGCTACCGTTCTGATTTGACTAGAGTCAGCAGCAAGCAGCGGCGATAAATTCCACTTACGCTGGAGTACTCTAGAAGGTGTTCAGGACCACGTGTACGTGAAATATCTGAACCGTTTCCGTTATGACTTGGCCGTCAGTTTCCAGGTCGTGTGCGACTTCCGTCATGTTTCGCAAATGCATAGCTCCTTCTGAGTCGTGAGCGCTTGGTGCACTCTCAACTCCCTCAAATTCCCGGTTACCCTTCGCGAAAGATGTGGCGGAAAATACGAAATTTGTATTTCGGGCTCGTTCGGTAGGGGAGGGAGGGGGGGGGATGATGTGCCTGATTCGTATTTTTCTCGTGCTGAAGTGTGTCATACAAACTTCACGTTTCAAGAAAACGCCTTCCACCCCGCCCCCGCCCCTCCTCCAGCACCTCCCCCCACCCCGCCCCCCCACAAACCACGGTGATGCTTTCAGGCGTCGTGGAATTTAAAAGGTTCAGAATTCCATGGGGGGTCGTGTTTGCATGATACGTTGAAAGGACTCGTGGTCTACATGCCGCCTGTCCATGTTATAAGCGACACAGCGGCACGCCCTCAGCAAGATGTTCACTCCTGATTCGCGCGTCGCACTCCGCTCGTACTTGTGTAAGATAATTCTCTACAGCGACGTGCACGCACGCACGACCTCGTTTGTCCCGATGTAGAGGTTTTGCAGTGGCGCATTGATTCAAAGTACCAACACCCCTCCAGAGTAGACTGTCTGACATCTCCAGCGAGCAGCAAATAATCCGCGTGAATTAGCTAGCGTTTTAGCTTAGACTATTTTGTCTACTCGCTAAACCTCCTCCTAATTTGCTGCTCGCTGGAGATGACAGACAGGCAGTGGCGTATTGGTTCAAAGTACCAACATCCCTTTGGAGTAACCCTTTAGAGTCCCTCCCAACATACCGAAGTGAAACGGTGCTGTCGGTGGTAACCACAAGCCGGTCATGGGGTACTGTTGGGACGACTGGACCGATGAAGATGACATGCGAGCCATGTGGGTCCAGCCCGCCGTGCAGGGGCTCTGGGAATGGAGGCGCGAACCGTCGGGGAAAGTTCCGTTCAAGATGAGGAGGGTCCGCAACAAGAGCGTGCCTCACATCGTGCTTGAAGGTAGAAAAAGGGAAGGGGGGGTGAGGGAGAGAGGGACTATGCAGGAGAAAGTGGGTTCTAACGTCAACTTTTCTTTTCCTTTTTGTGAACGTTACTGTGCGTCACATTGTGCTTGAAGGTAGAGATAGGGGAGGGGGAGTGAGGGGTGCAGAAGTGAGCCAAGTGAGGCAAGTGCGAGGGCTGAGAGGAGATGTGCTACAAAGTCTGATGTTGATAAGGGGCTGCTATCCTACGCTCTACTTCACCTGCACCTCCCTCTCTCTCATCACCCGCACCTCCCTCCCTCTCTGCTTCCGCCTTGAGAGCTACAGACAATGTGTCGATTCTCCTCGCCTCATTTCAGCGAGTGGCTGCCTTTTTTAGGCCCTCCCTCTCCCTTATTCCAGAGCTACATGTGGTGATGTCAATTCTCCTGAGCCGCCACTTCAGCGAGCGGGTGGCTTATTAAGGCTTATTTAGCTCCCTCCCTCTCCCCTTGGCCTTCAGAGCTACATGCGGCGGTGTCAATTCTCCTGAGCCCTCACTTCAGTGGCCGGGTGGCGCCTGTGGGGGCATGGAGGGGGGGGAGGTGGAGTTGCTGGTGTGCGCAGTGGCGCGCTTAGAGAGCTCGTGGGAGCCCATGGCGTACCAATGCGAGGCGCACAAGAAAGAGGCCAGCACGGGGCGGGAATCGGTATCACGCAGGTGCGGTGGGTGGGATGAGCGGGTGCGGTGGGTGGGATGAGCAGGTGAGCGCGTGCGTGGAGAGCTCGTGGGAGCCCATGGCGTTCCGATACAAGGAGCACAAGGGGGAATAACGGGGCACGGGGCTTTTGCAGGTGCGTGCGAGAGCAAGGAGAGAGAGGGGAGTTGAGAGGAGGGGAGGGGAGAGATAAAGGTGAGACAGAGGCGTTTTCACTCCTGAGTGGTGACTTTTAAGACAACTCAAAAGCCACCTTGGGGAGGTCAGCACATTGCTCGAGCAGGTGCGCGAGGAAGGGCCAGCATGCTTTGGCACTGGATGGCTGGCTGCCGTCCCGTTTTGCGTGGGTTTCTCCTTGCTTCTTCCTGACATACCGCGTCACCGTGTCTTCCTTTTTCACATGCAGCTGCTACTTTTCTCACCGCCCATTCATTGCAGGTGCTGCAGTCGACTGCGGAGTGGTTGGCCAAGGACAAGGGGTACCGCGCGTACACCATTGATTGGGCGTCCGTCATGCTCTATCCCCCGTTCAAGGGCATCTACTATGGCATGGCATACCTCGCATGGCTCTCCAACTTCAAGGGCGTGTGGGTGCTGCTTCAAACATCTCATCCCATGTCACATTGTGGGATGGGCGTCCCCCATGCTCTATCCCCCGATCAAGGGCATGTACTATGGCATGGCGTCCCTCGCATGGCTCTCCAACTTCAAGGGCGTGTGAGTGCTCCTTCAGACATCTCATCACATGTCACGTTGTGCAATGGGCGTCCCCCATGCTCTATCCCCCGGTCAGGGGCATGTACTATGGCATGGCATACCTCACATGGCTCTCCAACTTCAAGGGCGTGTGAGTGCTACTCATGGCGTGTGAGATGAGTCTTCTCATAGCATGCTGTGGAAAGCTCTTGCGAAGCTCTTTTGTAAGGACTTGGGTTGACATGCAACGGAGACCCTGGGGGTAAAACATGCAATTCAAGGGCGTGTTACTGCAATTCGAGACGTGTGTTCGCATGTCATTCTGTAGAACGGTCTTCTGAAGCTCTTGCATGGACGGCCTGGGTTGACATGCAACGGAGACCTTGGGGGATGATGGTACAGGCATTGCACACGCCTGGTCCCTCACTTCTCTGCCTCCACCATCCCAATCCCACTCTCCTTTCCTACGGCCCGCCAACCCACCCCCCCTCTTAACAACTCATGCACATACAATACAATGTGGATCCGTCCTCCCTCATCAGGCGGCGCAGTGAGGAGTTTGTGGTGAGGGCGTACAACGGAGGGCCGGGGGGAGTGAAAATCGCAGCCACAGCAGTCTATGGAACAAGTACCTTAAGGCCAAAGAGGTGAGGGAGGGGGGGCCGGAGGATTCAGGGTGTAGTTGTGTTTTGCTTGAGGAGTGGGACTGTAGCGGGATATTGCAGAGGGGCGGCAAGTCGTTTGACGCGATCGCAATCGTGCTAGCAGTGCTGGCGGTGCTTCATCGTGGAACGTTTGTGCGTTGTCGGTGCTGTGCTTGATTTCCGCATGTTCAATGTGCTGGTGACTGCAGGAGATTCGCAAGATGTTACGTGGCTCATCTGCTCCATCCCTGCCGTCCACATCTGGTTCATCTGCACCGTCCACATCTGGTTCATTTGCACCGTCCACATCTGGTTCATTTGCACCGTCCACATCTGGTTCATTTGCACCGTCCACATCTGGTTCATTTGCACCGTCCACATCTGGTTCATTTGCACCGTCCACATCTGGTTCATTTGCACCGTCCACATCTGGTTCATTTGCACCGTCCACATCTGGTTCATTTGCACCGTCCACATGTGGTTCATTTGCACCGTCCACATGTGGTTCATTTGCACCGTCCACATCTGGTTCATTTGCACCGTCCACATCTGGTTCATTTGCACCGTCCACATCTGGTTCATTTGCACCATCCACATCTGGTTCATTTGCACCGTCCACATCTGGTTCATCTGCACCGTCCACATCTGGTTCATCTGCACCGTCCACATCTGGTTCATTTGCACCGTCCACATCTGGTTCATCTGCACCGTCCCGATTCCCAACCGTCCATGCCTGTATCTATCCCGGTGTCCAATCTGACTGGTTGCGTGAAGTGGTTACCATGTTACGTAACTCATCCGTGGTAGCACAGGGCATGCTAGATATGCTACATGGCTCATCCATGTCAGTACAGCTACTGGTCGACCTTGTTCGTTGCTCATCCGTGTCAGCACAGGGTATTCTCACCGATCTACGTGGCCCGTCCATGTCAGCACAGGAAATGCTCAACGAGTTGCGTCGTTCGTCCATGTCAGCACAGGAAATGGTGGACAATGCATGGCGCATCCATGCCAGTATATAGAATGGTTGACGTGGCACTTGGCTCATCCATGTCGGTGCATGAAATGGTTGTGATTCTCCGCGGCTCATCCATGTCAATGCGTGAGATGGTTGACATGCTCCTTGGTTCATCCATGTCAGTTCAGGAAGTGCTCAATGTGCAGCGCTGCTCATCTGTTTAGCCCATACAGGAGGTGCTGGGTTGCCAGGCTATGTGGTTACACTGGTCCTGGTGTCAGGCCCCCGTTAAGAGGTTGGCAAAAAGGATACGTAAAACATTTCGTCTGCAAAGATGTTTAAAACTGCTTCTTGCTGCAAGGACATAGCTATGGAATTCTTGAGTCATGTTTGATGATTTTGAAAACAAACTTCTTATAGAGAGGACAAAACTAGGCCTGCCTTTCCACCCGAATCTGTATGGAGCGAGCAATCTGGGCAATCCCAATGGCTGCTGATTGAAATCCAGCAGCACTCCCTCCGCCCTGCTTTTTCTCAGTCTCCGTGCTTCGCGTTGATCCCTAAAGTCCCTTCGCGTAGCGTTGTCGTTTGCGTCGCAAAGCTCTTTAACGAAAAGTATATCCATAAGGTTTGTCGTCACAAAAACGGCTAGTCGAGGACGACGATTTTAGCGGGAAACAGTTGAGGCGCCTCGACGGACTCACGAAACTGAAACACACCGACACAGCGAGAGTGTCCCCGAACCTCCCATACCGCTGATTTCGCCTGACGCGGCGCCACCAATATTCCCGAACCTGAACCCCAGCTAGAGTCGCCTTCAGATCCGTCCACGCACCTCGCTGCTTGTTTTCCCACCGTTCGATTTTAGTGACGTGGCATGCTCATGAGTAAACAGCGAGGCAGGCCGAGGTTGGAACCCCAATGGTCAGGCAGAGGAGGCATGTGGGCGTGGAGGCAATGGGTTGAGCAGCCGAGTGCGGAGTTGAGTAGAAATGGGGTCGCTGCGGTTTGATCTTATCATTCCACTGTCGTTCTGTCGATCCACAGTCAATAAACCTTTCAACAATCAGCATCTGTTCAGCGATCAGCATCTGTCCAGCTATCCGCTATCAACTCTCCTCACGGCCAGTAACATGGCTTCTTACGCTGATAACTGCAACGTTAACTCTGGTTCTCAAACCTCGATCAGTCCTGCAGCGCCTACCAGAGGCATTGGCAGGTTCGGAATCCCTCGGACCGTTTTCTCGCCTGCAGCGTACTCTCCTGTGAAGGCCGGTGCTTGCAACGGCGACGGTGAGACTGAGACGTTCTGCAGCAGCGTGCTTCTGAAGAGCGTGAGGCCGCTGCTGGAGAAACTGGCCTCCCAAGGCGTCGCTGACGGGCAACACAAGCCCGCCAAGGTGTACGTTGTACCTAACGCGCCTGATGCGAAGCGGCCTGGAATCGGCCGCTTCGGAGGCAAGCCTGCTGCTGCCGTGCTTGCACCTGTGGTCGTCACTGCTGCTGCTGCTGCAGTCACACCATCTGCTGTGGTTGCGGCTGTGGTGGTGCCTGAGGTAGCGCGTGTGGCTCCAGTGGCTTCAACCACACCACAGGTGCCTGAAGCGAGTGTGACCACAGAAGCAATATCCGAGGAGGCGAGTGCACGTGCTGCTGATCCGAGTGAGAAAGCGAGGTGGTCGAAGCTGCGTCAGGAGGTTCGAGCTATGGATAATGCAATGACACGTGCTGCTTACCTGAGGCGGGACAAGCTGAGCAAGGAGACATCATGGGCCATGGAGATTGAAGCGGCCATTGAAGCCGCCCTGCGTGTCTGCTTCGTGCCCAAGCATCCTGATGCTGTGGCGAATCTAACTCCCAAAACCGTGCCTCCTGCATCTGCAGCAGCAGCGACTGTTGCAACAGCACCTGCTCCCTCTGCAGCATCTGCAGCAGCGAAAACAACAGCAGTGGGAGGAGCTGCAACATCAGTTCAGAAGCCAATGCGTACCCCATGTGCAGCAGCACCAGAAGCAGCTGCAGCAACAACATCAATGAATTCACATGCTTTGGCATCACCAGTGAGAGGAGCTGCAGCAGCAGCACGGGTTTCAAGACCTGCTGTTCCAGCAAGCTGCAAGGTGGGGGTTGAAAGTGCATGGTTCAAGAATGGGTGCAACAGCAAGGGGAGGCCAGCAGTGAGAGCAGCTGGCAAGGCCAGCAGCAGGCAGGCGAGTGGGGTGAAGCAGAGAGAGGGGGGTGGGTGTGGGGAGGGAGCAGCAGGGAGGGCAGCAAGTGGAAGGCAGGGTGGTGTGAAGGCAGCAGGTGGCAGAGCTGTGGCAAGTGGCGTGTGTGGCAGGGAGGGGGTGAAGCAGCAGGCGGGGAGGAGAGAGGGTTTGGTGCATGAGAGGCAGGCGAGGCCAGGCTGCAGCAGCAGCAGGGCGCATAGAAGGAGCTCCTGAAAGAGCCGTCACTACAATGCCGGCTCTCGACGTGAGAGCATCCCAGAGGAACATGGGCTGTACATACATGGGTACAACAGTGAAGGGTGTGCTGGAACAATGGTGACAACTCCCAGCTGCTGCTGGGAATATGTGATGTCTTGTAGCCTTGTAGGGTACACTGTATATTAATAAAAAATGTTAGGACATGTAATTTGCAAGTGTTTGGCATTTTAAATTCTCTGTTTTATTTGGGTGTAAGCAGTGCAGCTCACCAAGAAGAGTGCAGCAGCACACTAAAGCACGGGACCAATTCTAATGTACTGCAACACACGCGGGTCATTTTGATACTGGATCATGTTTTGTTGATTGAGGTCTTGAGAGCAGAGGGTCCCAGACAATCATCAAGTGTACATCGAAAGCTTGTGAGTGGAACAGCTTCCAGCTGTTGTGTTAAACATCTTGACACTAACTTCCACCTGTGCCTGCATGGGAACGTGTGTACGTGGTTTCATGGGTGACTAGGTGCATGCATGCATGGATGAATGAGTGCGTGGGTGCATGGGTGTGTGGGTGCATGGGTGTGTGGGTGCATGGGTGCATGGGTGCATGGGTGCATGGGTGCGTGGGTGCATGGTTTCAGAGTGTCCGAAGTACATGGGTTCATAGGGTGCATCAGTGTAGGGGTGCATCGGTGTATGGGTGTGCGGGTTCATGGGTGCATGAGTGGATGGTGCATGAGTGCACAGGTGCAAGGGTGCATGGGTTTATGGGTGCATGACTGGATGGTGCATGAGTGCACAGGTGCAACGGTGCATGGATTTATGGGTGCATGAGTGCACATGAGCAAGGGTGCATGGGTTTATGGGTTCATGGTTTCAGGGTCACACAGCAAATGCAAGGCATGCGGTTAACTGATGTGACTGAGAACCTCGGATGGAGGGCAGCAAGGCAAGAGAGTGTTTCTGGAGTAATTAAATCGTTTCCCAAAAAGGGAGGTGAAATAAATGGGAGAGAGTGAGTATAGGGAGTAATTTTGGGAGGTGGAGAGAGAACAAAAGCAGCAGAGTCATGGGAGAGAACGGGCGGGGGTGAATGAAGGGAAGCTGAGGAGGAGGGCAGGGGGCTGGGAGCATGGAGAGGAAGAGAGCGATTCACATGGGCGTGTTGGGTAACCAGCTGCCCTGCTGATAACCAGCTGCCCTTCTGGTGAGGAGCGAAGGAAAAGTGAGATGGCAAGCAGGCAGAAACTGGCAAGCAAAACGTAACGGAGATGGAAAATGAGATGGCAAGTGAGGCAACTCAGATGCCAACTGAAACGTGAACTGAAATGGCAATTGAAATGGCAACTGAGATGGAAATTGACATGGCTATTGCAAAGGCTACTGCGAAGGCTACTGAGGTGGCTACTGAAATGGCTACCGAGACAGCAATTGATATGGCAACTGCAATGGCAAGTGAAATGGAAATTGACTTGGCAACTGAAACAGCTACAGTTGGGTTTGGATTGGATGGGATGGGATGGGCTGGGCTGGGATGGGATGGGATGGGATGGGATGGCATGGGATGGGATAAGATGGCATGGCATGGCATGGGACGCCATGGGATGGGATGGAATGGAATGGGATGGGATGGGATGGGATGGGATGGGATGGGATGGGATGGGATGGGATGGGATGGGATGGGATGGGATGGGATGGGATGGGATGGGATGGGATGGGGTGGGATGGGATGGGGTGGGACGGGATGGGATGGGATGGGATGGGATGGGATGGGATGGGATGGGATGGGATGGGATGGGATGGGATGGGATGGGATGGGATGGGATGGGATGGGATGGGATGGGATTGGATGGGCTGGGATGGGCAGGGATCAGAGGTACCAAAATCAGAAGTTAACAAAACAAAAGCCATCATAATCGATAAAGCCCCCCCCCTTTAACCTCCCTCCCTCCCACCCCCAAAGAGGAAAGACAAAACGTTTTTGTTTAAGAAATGGACAGGAAAGGCTAATCCAGAGTTAAGAAGTAAGCATGAGAACTAACTTTGGATATGGGACTGAAAATAGACTTGACTCGATAGCTTGTTCCCATGTCTGGAATGGGCCATAGGAAGAGCAAGACCCTTGGCTACAGGTGCAGGCAGGCTGGGATGGGAGCCGGGACGGGACAAAAAAAAACACAGAATGAGAAGCAGAACCACGCTGCGGTTCAATAAACAGACTGAATGGGGTTGACTTGAACTCAAGTGGCGATTTAGCAATGACTGACTTGAGTCGATCCAACTCATGGCCATTACTGGGGGTGGGGCAAGGGGGGAAGGGATGCATCGCATGTACCAACCACTGATGTTCACATGGGCACATGGCGACTCCACAGCGGCGGTTGGGGCTGCAGACGTGGCGATTTGGCAGTGCTCAGCAAATGAGCAGAGCGACATTGAGAGCAGAGCGACATTGAGAGCAGAGCGACGTTGAGAGCAGAGCGACGTTGAGAGCAGAGCGACGTTGAGAGCAGAGCGACGTTGAGAGCAGAGCGACGTTGAGAGCAGAGCGACGTTGAGAGCAGAGCGACGTTGAGAGCAGAGCGACGTTGAGAGCAGAGCGACGTTGAGAGCAGAGCGACGTTGAGAGCAGAGCGACGTTGAGAGCAGAGCGACGTTGAGAGCAGAGCGACGTTGAGAGCAGAGAGACGTTGAGAGCAGAGCGACGTTGAGAGCAGAGCGACGTTGAGAGCAGAGCGACGTTGAGAGCAGAGCGACGTTGAGAGCAGAGCGACGTTGAGAGCAGAGCGACGTTGAGAGCAGAGCGACGTTGAGAGCAGAGCGACGTTGAGAGCAGAGCGACGTTGAGAGCAGAGCGACGTTGAGAGAAGAGCGACGTTGAGAGCAGAGCGACGTTGAGAGCAGAGCGACGTTGAGAGCAGAGCGACGTTGAGAGCAGAGCGACGTTGAGAGCAGAGCGACGTTGAGAGCAGAGCGACGTTGAGAGCAGAGCGACGTTGAGAGCAGAGCGACGTTGAGAGCAGAGCGACGTTGAGAGCAGAGCGACGTTGAGAGCAGAGCGACGTTGAGAGCAGAGCGACGTTGAGAGCAGAGCGACGTTGAGAGCAGAGCGACGTTGAGAGCAGAGAGACGTTGAGAGCAGAGCGACGTTGAGAGCAGAGCGACGTTGAGAGCAGAGCGACGTTGAGAGCAGAGCGACGTTGAGAGCAGAGCGACATTGAGAGAAGAGCGACGTTGAGAGCAGAGCGACGTTGAGAGCAGAGCGACGTTGAGAGCAGAGCGACGTTGAGAGCAGAGCGACGTTGAGAGCAGAGCGACGTTGAGAGCAGAGCGACGTTGAGAGCAGAGCGACGTTGAGAGCAGAGCGACGTTGAGAGCAGAGCGACGTTGAGAGCAGAGCGACGTTGAGAGCAGAGCGACGTTGAGAGCAGAGCGACGTTGAGAGCAGAGCGACGTTGAGAGCAGAGCGACGTTGAGAGCAGAGCGACGTTGAGAGCAGAGCGACGTTGAGAGCAGAGCGACGTTGAGAGCAGAGCGACGTTGAGAGCAGAGCGACGTTGAGAGCAGAGCGACGTTGAGAGCAGAGCGACGTTGAGAGCAGAGCGACGTTGAGAGCAGAGCGACGTTGAGAGCAGAGCGACGTTGAGAGCAGAGCGACGTTGAGAGCAGAGCGACGTTGAGAGCAGAGCGACGTTGAGAGCAGAGCGACGTTGAGAGCAGAGCGACGTTGAGAGCAGAGCGACGTTGAGAGCAGAGCGACGTTGAGAGCAGAGCGACGTTGAGAGCAGAGCGACGTTGAGAGCAGAGCGACGTTGAGAGCAGAGCGACGTTGAGAGCAGAGCGACGTTGAGAGCAGAGCGACGTTGAGAGCAGAGCGACGTTGAGAGCAGAGAGACGTTGAGAGCAGAGCGACGTTGAGAGCAGAGCGACGTTGAGAGCAGAGCGACGTTGAGAGCAGAGCGACGTTGAGAGCAGAGCGACATTGAGAGAAGAGCGACGTTGAGAGCAGAGCGACGTTGAGAGCAGAGCGACGTTGAGAGCAGAGCGACGTTGAGAGCAGAGCGACGTTGAGAGCAGAGCGACGTTGAGAGCAGAGCGACGTTGAGAGCAGAGCGACGTTGAGAGCAGAGCGACGTTGAGAGCAGAGCGACGTTGAGAGCAGAGCGACGTTGAGAGCAGAGCGACGTTGAGAGCAGAGCGACGTTGAGAGAAGAGCGACGTTGAGAGCAGAGCGACGTTGAGAGCAGAGCGACGTTGAGAGCAGAGCGACGTTGAGAGAAGAGCGACGTTGAGAGCAGAGCGACGTTGAGAGCAGAGCGACGTTGAGAGCAGAGCGACGTTGAGAGCAGAGCGACGTTGAGAGCAGAGCGACGTTGAGAGAAGAGCGACGTTGAGAGCAGAGCGACGTTGAGAGCAGAGCGACGTTGAGAGCAGAGCGACGTTGAGAGCAGAGCGACGTTGAGAGCAGAGCGACGTTGAGAGCAGAGCGACGTTGAGAGCAGAGCGACGTTGAGAGCAGAGCGACGTTGAGAGCAGAGCGACGTTGAGAGCAGAGCGACGTTGAGAGCAGAGCGACGTTGAGAGCAGAGCGACGTTGAGAGCAGAGCGACGTTGAGAGCAGAGCGACGTTGAGAGCAGAGCGACGTTGAGAGCAGAGCGACGTTGAGAGCAGAGCGACGTTGAGAGCAGAGCGACGTTGAGAGCAGAGCGACGTTGAGAGCAGAGGGACGTTGAGAGCAGAGCGACGTTGAGAGCAGAGCGACGTTGAGAGCAGAGCGACGTTGAGAGCAGAGCGACGTTGAGAGCAGAGCGACATTGAGAGCAGAGCGACGTTGAGAGCAGAGCGACATTTAGAGCAGAGCGACGTTGAGAGCAGAGCGACATTGAGAGCAGAGCGACGTTGAGAGCAGAGCGACATTGAGAGCAGAGCGACGTTGAGAGCAGAGCGACATTGAGAGCAGAGCGACATTGAGAGCAGAGCCTGATGCCACGAGTTGAGTTGCCTGCGAGGAGGGAGAGAGGGAATTGACTGGGAGGGGGAGGGGGGGGAGAAGAAGGGGTGCATCAGCAAGGGATGATGGGAGAAAAGATGCGGGCGAAGAGATATGGGTGCAACGAGATGAAATTGGAGGGACGAGATGAAATTGGAGGGACGAGATGAAGTGGGCGCAGCGAGATGAAATGGGTGTCCTGGCATGAAATGGACGTTCCACTTCATGGCTTTGAGAAAATTCTCAGAAGGACCAGCTTGGCGTCGGCTCCGTACCACACACTCACCTCGCACCCCACCTTCCGCTGCACTCCCCCGCGCTGCACTCCCTTCCGCTGCACTCCCTTCCGCGTATCCGGGTCCTCCGCTTCTTCCGCTTGCCATGTCAGCGCAGATGCACCACCAATCAGCGCGCGGCAGGCAGAACGGGCTGTGAGCGCTGCAGCAGAGGCCAATCCGCAACTGCCGGCATCTCTCTCCCTCCACGCCCTCTACCTTTTCCACCACATCCAACGTCTCTTTCCTCCCTTCCGCGACCCCTGCTCTCAAAGCCTCTTTTACACCTAGTCCTCCCCCGTTCTCCCTCCCTCTTTCCCTCTTTTCCGCTCCTTCCGTTCGTCGCTCCTTGATCTTCACGCACTCCCATCTCAGGCGCTGGTCGCCTGTAGGCACCATGTCGATTGCTCTCCTCGTCGCTCGCTCATTCGCATTCCAAGCCTGCGGGTCGCGTGGGGCGATCTGATTGGGCGAGGGTCACAGGCTCGGACGCGATCACGTTGGACATGACGGCCGCCGGCTGGGAGACGGCTCACGGTGAGGGTGCTCTGCGAGTTAACATTTCCTCCCAGCACCTAACGGCAGGACTATAGCTTGAAAGTCGCAATTTGAAAGTGAATCCCTGAAACCGTCGTCCTTCAGATCGCTTGTGAGTTGTAACCAAGGCTCGTAAATTGCGCTCGTAATCGCCTTGCGCGCTCGGAATCGTCTGCGATTCATTTTCAATCCCGGCTCGACGGACAAACAAAATCAGATTGTGCCTCACAGCCGTCGAAACACGCAGCATCGCGAAGAATACTTTTGGGACCGTTTAGTACCGCACATATTTCCCTCCGTGAACAAATCCAAAATCTGGCATTCTTGAGCCCAACCAAGCACAGAAGATTTTATTAATATTACCACATTTATTGAATTTCCAACCACAGCACAAACAGATTGTCTATAGAGGGGACACCACAACGTCTACTTTCCCCCCTCCATTCACCACGCGCAGGCCACCACTCGGACAAACCGCACTGTTACCTCGGAATTCGTTTCAAGAATCATCGAAAGCAATGTCATGTCGCTATAGTTTTTCCACCTTTGGCATCCCGAACTGCCACGGTGGCGCGCCGAGTCAGCAGATTTTGTCAGTCAGCTCTTGCGCCAAGCCCTTCTCAGTAGCGAACTGCCAGGCGTGCTTGACGAGTCGCCACAACGAGGGGCAAATGTCGCGAGAAATCAGGCGATTCGGCGGGGAATGAGTGGCAGGCAGCAGGGCAGCGCCCCTCGGCATGGCGCAAGGCGAGGTGCGACGCCTCGTACGAACCGCCTGTGAGACGCAGCTTGCCCTGGAACCCTCGCTCTCGATACTCGAAGCGAAGGGCCACCTCGCCTCCCACGCGCTCACCTCGGAGCATTCGGCGAATTTGGCGCAGGGGGGGGGCTCGGCGTGGCGTGGGGAAACGCCACAGCGGGTGCTGCCCCAGCGGCACTGGGCCTTGGCGCGACGGACGTCGTACAGAACAGAAGAGAACAGCTGAACAGAACAGAGACGCTGCTGCTTTTAGGTGACGCGCGCGCCGCTTGTCCCTCGGTTCGACTGACTTGCAGACCAGCCACGTTACTCACTGCCTCCCTCCCTCGCTTCTCCTCACGCCAAGCACACGCCGTGATCCCGCGAGCATAGAGACGGTAGTACTACTTTCCTACTCATCGCTGCTATCGATCGCTCGGAACCGCCGTGACTTGGTAGCACAGGTATAGCAACAGGGCAGGGCAGCAAAAGTATAGCAGCTCCCTCCCACGTACGCACTCACGCCGCGACTGTTCGTCACACGCTCGCCTGGACGGCGTGAGTGTGGCTCGCCCTCACGCTCCCCCCGCCCCCGCCAGCGTCGACCTGAGCCCCCTCTACCCGGCCTCGCCCCGCCTGCCATGGCCGCCCGCGGTCGCCCAGCGACGCCCCTGGTCGCGGCAGCGGAGAGGGCAGCAAGAGAGCAAGCCGCGGAGGTGGAGGATGGTGCTTGTAACGGGGTGACAATGCAGGACGGCAGTGCCAGCAATGCTACTGCAGGCGGGACAGCAGCGCCGGAGGGGACGTTGTTTAGAGCGTTGGAGGCGGAGGAGGTGCGGAGGCAGGGCCACCGCATGGTGGATTTCATTGCAGACTACCTGCAGAGCGTGGGTGACAGACCTGTGCGCTGCTCCGTGCAGGTGAGGTGTGCTGCCGTGCCGTGGCATGGCGTGCTGGCAGCAGCATGGCGTGGCAGGGCCACCGCATGGTGGATTTCATTGCAGACTACCTGCAGAGCGTGGGTGCTCGCCCCGTGCGCAGCACCGTGCAGGTGAGGTGTGCTGCCGTGCTGGCAGCAGCATGGCGTGGCAGGGCCACCGCATGGTGGATTTCATTGCAGACTACCTCCCCCACCATCGCAATCCCGCTGCACTGCTCTCGATTGTTCAATACCTGCTAGCCCACACTGCCCGTCCCGTGCATGCGCTGCCCCCACTGCTCGCCCCTCCACCCTGGCAGCCCGGCTATCTGCGACCTCTGCTCCCCGCCCGCGCCCCTGAGCATGGCGAACCGCTGGAAGCCATTCTCTCAGGTGAAGACCCCTCCCCCCTCCGCCCCAACTGTGTGCTTTCCCTTCCCTCCCCCACCCCCCCGTTCTTTCCTCCCTCTCCCTTTGAGTCGCCTTACCCGCTCCAACGAGTCTAGCATATCTAATACCCGCCCTTTCACCCACTTCCACCACAGTTGCTTCTCCCTCGTTGCGCTCTTCCCCCTCGACCCGTCCTCTCCCCACACCCTCCTCTCCATCCCTGCGCCGCGCTGCACCGCGCTGCACCGCACAGACATATCAAGCGCCATCCTACCCGGAGTGACGCACTGGCAGAGCCCATCCTTCTTCGCCTTCTTCTCCTCGCCCACCAGCGCCGCCGCCATCAGTGCCGACGCCCTCATCAGCGCCCTCAACGTGGTGGGCTTCTCCTGGGCCGCCGCCCCCGCTGCTACGGAGCTGGAGGGGGTCGTTATGGACTGGCTGGCTGACCTTCTGGGGCTGTCGGATGGGTTCCACTCGGTGAAATCAGGTGAGGAGGGGTGGGGGAGTGGGGGAGTGAGGGGTGTTCATCTGTGCCGATGCCCTCATCAGCGCTCCCAACTCAACGTGGTGGGCTTCTCCTGGGTCGCTGCTCCCGCTGCAGTGAGGGGTGAGGTGAGGTAGAGGTAGAGTGCAGTGAGATGAGAGGGAGGAGCAGGACACCCTCATCAGTGCCCTCAACGTCGTGGGATTCTCCTGGGCTGCTGCTCCCGCTGCCATGGAGCTCGAGGCCATTGTCACCGACTGGCTGGCTGATCTTCTGGGGCTGCCTGATGGGTTCCACTCGGTGAAATCAGGTGAGGAGGGGTGGGGGAGTGGGGGTGTTCATCTGTGCCGACGCCCTCATCAGCGCCCTCAACGTGGTCGGATTCTCCTGGGCCGCCGCTCCTGCTGCCACGGAGCTGGAGGGGATTGTCGTGGATTGGCTGGCTGACCATCTGGGGCTGCCAGAGGGGTTCCACTCGGTCATTTCAGGTGAGAGGGAGTTGGGTGGGGTGGGCTGGGGGTGGTGAGGCGACCGGTGGTGAGCAGAGGTGGGGTGAGGCGTGGGGGAAGGTAGGGAGGGGGAGTGAGTTGGGGAGGAGTGCATGTTTCTGTTCTACCTCCCCCCCCCTCATGCCGTGCGTGTCTCTGTCACTGTGAGTGGCGGGTGGCAGGTGGGCGGGGCGGAGGGGTGATTCACGGCACGGCCAGTGAGGCGCTGCTGGTGGCATTGCTGGCTGCCAGGCGGAGAGTGCTGGACCGTGTGATGGGACAGCCCGGCAGTGCTGCAGCGCCAGGCAGAGCGGGCTGTGAGGACCTGCCTGTTGCACCTGCTGCTGCTGCTGGTCCTGCTGCCGCTGGTGCTGCTGCTGCTGCTGGTGCTGCTGCTGCTGCTGCTGCTGCTGCTGCTGCTGCTGCTGCTGGTCCTGCTGCTGCTGGTGGTTCTGCTGCTGCTGCTGGTCCTGCTGCTGTTGCTGCTGGTTCTTCTGCTGGTGCTGCTGGCGTGGGTGTGCGGGGCGAGGCTACTCACACGTTCCCATGGGCGAGTGAGGAGGGCATGGCAGCACAGCGCCTGGTAGCATACGTGTCAGACCAGACGCATGCATGTGCGCTCAAGGCATGTCGCGTGGCAGGCATGCCCGAGGGCAACGTGCGAGTGCTGCCCACCACGCCTGCATCAGCATACGCCCTCACTGCCCGCCAGGTGTTGGATGCGGTGCAGAGCGATGAGGCTGCTGGCCTCATTCCCTTCTTCCTCGTCCTCACTGTACGTGGGAGGCACCTCGTTCCCTTCTTCCTCACTCTCACTTTCTGTAATATGTACCTCACTCACTCCTTCCCTCACGCGCGTCACGATAAGCCACCTTGCGTAGAGGACGGTGCGTGTTTGCCTGCTTGCCCCTCTGTGTCACCTCCAGCTGTAAGTTTTCCCATTGCCTGCGTGCCGCCGGTGCATGGCGCCTCATCTGCCTCATCCCCCGCACCGCACCATCTCCCGGACTGACCCTGGAGTCCTGCCTTGCCTCTCACTCACACCAGCAAGCACCACCATGCGCTCACTCCATTCCACGTGCCTGCTCTGCTCCTGTGCCACGTCATGCCAGGTTGGCTCCACGTCATCCACTGCTGTGGATCCGATCGCCCCTTTGGCTGCCATCGCGAAGGTGAGTTCTGAAGTTGTCTTTTGCCGTGCCATTCCGTGCTGTGCCATGCCGTGCCATGCCATGCCGTGCCATGTCATGCAGTGCCATGCCATGCAATGCCACGCCATGCCATGCCATGCCATGCCATGCCATGCCGTGCGATGCCATGCCATGCCATGCCGTGCCATGCCATGGCACACCATACCACAAGTGGGTGCAAGCCCAGCCGCCTCGGAACGTGCCATATACCACCTCCCCCCTCCCTCTCTCTCTTCCCCCCGCCTCCAATCACGGGCACAGGAGCATGGCATGTGGGTGCATGTGGATGCGGCGTATGCAGGCATGGCGAGCATGTGCGCTGAGATGCGCCACCACCTGGCAGGCGTGCATCTGGCCGACTCACTAGCCTCCAACGCTCACAAGTGGCTGCTCACTAGCTTCGGCTGCTCCTGCCTCTGGACCCAGGTAAGTCACGGTTGCTGGTGGTAAGTGCTGGGAGTTCCGGTGGTCCCAGGTAGTGCCGGTAGTGCCGGTGGGAGGAGAGGTGAAGCTGTAAGGTGGCCTGCAGGCAGGTGGTGTGACATTGTTGTAACGGTGCTGCTGGGGAAGCGTGTACGCCTTTTTTGTGGGTGAATAGAATCCTCTTTGTGCTGGCTACATGCATGACCACCCACACCACACCACATCACACCGCATCACACCACATCACACCGCACCACACCGCACCATACGCACTGCACTGCGCCACATATCGGAATATCACCTCTCCATGCCTGTGCGGCTATGCCCATCCCCATGCCCATGCCCATCCCCATGCCCATCCCCATCCCCATGCCCATCCCCATGCCCATCCCCATGCCCATGCCCATGCCCATCCCATGCCCATGCCCATGCCCATGCCCATGCCCATGCCCATGCCCATGCCCATGCCCATGCCCATGCCCATCCCCATGTCCATGTCCATGCCCATGCCCATGCCCATGCCCATGCCCATGCCCATGCCCATCCCCATGCCCATGCCCATGCCCATGCCCATGCCCATGCCCATGCCCATGCCCATGCCCATGCCCATGCCCATGCCCATCCCCATGTCCATGCCCATGCCCATGCCCATGCCCATGCCCATCCCCATGTCCATGCCCATGCCCATGCCCATGCCCATGCCCATGTCCATGCCCTTTCATGCCCCACCAGGACAGCACGTCGCTGGTGGACGAGCTGTCTATACTGCCGGAGTATCTAAGGAATAAGGTGGGCTAGTAGGTTCTATTCGCTTGGCACTGACCTCTTACTGCACTGTGCTCCTGTGTGCTCCTGTGTGCTCTCACCACAATGTGCGTGTGTCACAGTATGCTCTTATCGGACTGCCCTCGTTTTGCAGTTTGCCCTTGTTACAGTGTGATCCCATTGCAGCAAATACTCTTATCGCAGATTACCCATGTTCATTAACGCACACACACACACTCCCTTTCCCCCCTTTTTTCGCCCCCCCCTATTCCGCACACGGCATGCATCAGAGAGGCAGCAAGTGGTGGACTACAAGGACTGGGAGATCCCCATCGGCCGCCGCTTCAGGTTTGTTGAAGACAGTGTGTCTTGCCGCTCTCCTTGCACCTCCCTGGCATGGTGTGTGCACGGCATGCATGCAGTGCATTCGTGTGAAGCCAATCTGCATACAATCATGGAATTTCCGGTCCGAAGTTATTTCAGATTCAGTCTTGATAGTTCTTGTTTCTTTTTTTAATGCATACCACCCACCGAGCCCCCGAGCAGGTCACTGAAGCTGTGGATGGTGCTGCGCACGTATGGAGCAGAGGGCATCCGTGCATACATCAGGCGCCACGTGTCGCTTGCTGAGTGGTTCGAGGAGGCCGTGCGGCAAGATGAGAGGTTCCAGGTGAGCTGGAGTGCAGCATGCCTTCACTCCCTGCATGTGCCTCCTGTGATACCCTCTCACTCGCATACCCTATCGCACGTCCGCTCAAATGCCCACTCACATGCCCTCTCACACACCCTCTCACTCGCACACCCTCTCACACGCCCTCTCACACGCCCTCTCACATACCCTTCACACACCCTCTCACCTGTCACATACCTCTCTTGCTCTCCTTTTCGCTGAAATGATGTCAGCGTGCTACCCTCTTGCCACCCCTCCCCCTCTCCCCCTCTCCCCTCCCTCCCCCCCCCTCCCCACTCTCCCGTGTTCCCAGCTGATGGCACCACGCCCCTTCGCCCTCGTCTGCTTCCGCCTCAAGCCGCCTGCAGCTTGTGCACGCGGGGGGGAGGCATGCGGAGTTGTGGGCGAAGGGGGGTTGGACAAGGGGGTGGAGGGCGAGGACAGAGAAAGGGCGGTGAACGCGGCGTTACTGGAGGCGATCAACAGCAGCGGCCAGGCGTACCTCACACACACTGTCAGTCCTCCTCAGCACGATGTTGCATGCCCTCTCCATTCCCCAAAAGTCTCTCCCACACATACTGAGACTTCTTGATGCGCTTCAGAAGTACTGCATGCACGATGTGGGTCCCGCATCATGCTGCCCCATGCCTTGCTCATTCGATTGCACTGACTTGAACAGGGCCTTGGCCACATGACTTGAACCTGTGACCTACGTCTCTATGGCCCCATGACCCCATGCAGGTGCTATCAGGGAAGTACACGCTGCGCATGGCAATAGGGGCGGTGAAGACAGAGAAGACGCATGTGCAGGCAGCGTGGAGGCTCATCCAAACGGAAGCTTCCAACCTGCTGCAAAAGGGTGACTACACTCTAAAGGAAACTTGAAATATACTCTTCAGGAGGCTGGATGATTCGCCTTGGTGAGCGAGCGAAGGAATCTCAGCTGACTGTAATTTCAGCCATGCAGCTTCATGCTCGCTTCAGTCTCACTTCACTCACTTCAGCCAGGATAATTTGCAGCCCATGGGTTACATGATGGGATAGTGCGTGTGATGGCATGGAATGTTGTGTAAATGATGGCATGGGATGGCGGCGGTGTGATTGGGTTGTTCGGTGGGAGTGATGTCATGGCATTGATACTGTTGGGATGGGATGTTACAGGTGATGCCAACCATTTCGTAATCACTCACAGCGACCCGGCCATGTTAGGTGCTCAGGTAGTTGCTAAATTGAAGCAATACCGTATATTTTAAAGTAGGTTGATCGCATTAGACAACCAAGAATCTTACAATAGATTGTTTTTCAAATGATGTGAGCTACCCTGCTCATGTTCCTTTGCAAGAGTGGTGATATTTAAGGTTGTTATTGCCTTCGATTATTCCTGGCAAAGTATTTTTTATAGGTTTTGTGTAATTTGTTTAGAGCAGAATGAGCTGCATTGTTTTTTATATAATCACTGCGGCTCAATGTAACGAATGTATTCGGCTCTCTTACCCCTTCCTCGACAGTCCCAATGTCTTGCAGCTGCAGCGAGCCACAAATATCTATCTCTAAGTTCCACCTCCAGCGGCGGATCTGTCGCCCATATCCGTCGCACAGCGCTCGTTCAGTACGTGACGAAGGCTCAAGTAACAATCATGGTAACACTCGCTTGTAGCATTCATGGTAACACTCGCTGGCACCAAAGTCGCTGTAAAAGATTAGCGTGCGACTAAAAGGTGGCGCCAGCGAAATCTGAGGCGTTTCGACTACGCACGAAACTGAAGCCCAATCAAACGTTCGCTCGCCAGATCCGTCGCGTGCGGCAGTGCCAGGCCTTGCGAAATTTCGCTTTCGCTGGCTGGTCCGTTGCTTTCAAAAGTTGGCGGGAATGTACCTCAGGCGCCTCGATGAAGCACGAATCTGAAACCCCAATCGAAGCCGCCTCTAGAAATGGCTGCGGCGATCCTTCTCTGCAATTTCGACCCACTCTGGAAGCATCTGATGTGGCGTGCAGCGCAGCGGCCAGCAAAGCAGGTTGAGGGTGAAACTCCAATGGACAGGCAGAGGCGTGGAGGCGAGGGTTTGAGCGGAATGGAATACAAATGGGGTCGACAGGGTTCCATATTTTCATTCACACATCCTCCTCTCCTGCTCTTGGTTCCCGGATCTGCTCGTCCAGTACCCCCGGTCGTCCTCTGCTGAAAGCTCAACAGTCACAGATTTCAGAACTCGTTGCCAAGCTTCTGTGAAGCTATCTGTCATCTAATAACATGGACTGCTGCCTTGTTAACAACGGATCGGCGAAGACCTTCAACTCGTGTTCTTCAACCTCAAGTCCTGCCACGCCTACCCGAGGCATTGGCAGGTTCGGCACGGCTCGAACGGTGTTCACGCCTGCAGCATCATACTCTGCAGTGAAGCCTTCCATTGACAAGATGGCCGATCTGCAACTTCCTGCTGCTTCTTGCAAAGACGACGGTGAGACGTGCTGCAGCAGCGTGATTCTGAAGAGCGTGAGGCCGCTACTGGAGAATCTGGCGATGCACCTCGCTGACGGGCAGCACAAGCCCACCTTGAAGGTGCACGTTGTACCTGACGCACCTGATGTGAAGCGGCCTGGAATCGGCCGCTTCGGAGGCAAGCCTGCTGCTGCCGTGCTTGCACCTGCACCTGTGGTCGTCGCTGCTGCTGCACGCGCACCATCTGCTGCTGCTTCAGCTGCTGCTGCTGCTGCTGTCACACCATCTGCTGTGGTTGCGCCTGTGGCTCCAGTGGCTGAGGTAGCGCCTGTGGTTCCCGTGACTTCAACCACACCACAGGTGCCTGAAGCGAGTGTGACCACAGAAGCATTATCCGAGGAGGCGAATTCACATGGTGTTGAATTAAGTGAGAAAGGGAGGTGGGACAAGCTACGTCAGGAGATTCGAGCTATGGATAGTGAATGGGCCAAGAAATTGAGAGCACGTGCTGCTTACCTGAGATGGGCCAAGCTGGGCCAGGCGACGTGGGCAAGGGACATTGAAGCAGCCATTGAAGCTTCCCTACCTGCCTGGATCGTGCCTGGTAAAACTGTTGCTCCTGCATCTGCAGCAGCATCGAGTGTAGCAGAGTCTGCACCACCAGCTGCTCCCTCTGCAGCAGCTGCAGCAGTGAAGTCACCTGCTGTGGCATCAGCAGTGAGGGGAGTTATGGACTGTGAATGGGCCAAAACGTTGAGAGCACATGCTGCTTACCTGAGATGGGCCAAGCTGGACCAGGCGACGTGGGCCAGGGATATTGAAGCTGCCATTGAAGCTTCCCTTCCTGCCTGGATCGTGACTGGCAAAACCGTCCCCCCTGCATCTGCAGCAGCAGCAACTGTAGCAGAGTCCGCAACACAAGCTGCTCCCTCGCCAGCAGCAGCAACACAGAAGCCAAAGCCTGCTGTTGCAGCAAGGTGCAAGGTGGAGTTTGAAACCGTGAAGGGCAAGAATGGGTGCAGCAGCAAGGTGGTGAGCACCGGTGTGAAGGTTGTTGAGGGCAGTAGGCATGCACGCTCTGCCCCACGTGCAACAGCAGCAGTTTCGGGATCACGTGGTGCTGCATCATCAGTGAGAGCAGCTGGCAAGGCCAGCAGCAGGCAGGCGAGTGGGGTGAAGAGGAGAGAGGGGGGTGGGTGTGCTGAGGGAGCAGCAGGGAGGGCAGCAGGTGGATGGCAGGGTGGTGTGAAGGCAGCAGGTGGCAGAGCAGTGGCAAGTGGCGTGTGTGGCAGGGAGGGGGTGAAGCAGCAGGCGGGGAGGAGAGAGGGTTTGGTACATGAGAGTCAGGCGAGGCCAGGCTGCAGCAGCACCAGGGCGCACAGAAGGAGCTCCTGAAAGAGCCGCTATGCCCTTTCTGGAGCATCTTAACAAAGAACATGAGCGCGCACTCCCACCTGTTGCTGGGAAGGACCTCCTTCCAGCGCTCAAGTACAGGTGCTGCTGAGAGCATCCCAGCTGAACATGAGCTGTACATACAAATGTGACTACACTGAAAGGTGACACTAATGGAACAACTCCCAGCTGCTGTTGGGAATACGTAGGCATGTCTTTGTACACTATTTGATACTAATATATGGCTTTAAAATTCTACTAGGTTAAGAAGTAAGAATATCGATTTTCCTTGGACAGAAGTTTCTGAAATTGGTTGCAATGGAATGTAATGTATTGAAGGATAGTGATGTACGGTAATCGGTCTTGGTTTTCAGACACCCATATAAGGTGGATTAACTCTAGGGCAATTTCTGCTGGGGACAGAAGAAAAGGACTCTGCATGCGGGAGGCTTACCAGCGAGTACGGAAGGCGTGAGCAAGGCGTGGGCCTTCACCTGGTTCCATCATTCACGCCCTGCCAATCTGACTTGGCGCGCTCATGTCGCACCGCAAAGTGACCACTCCCCATCCCGCATCCTTGGCGTCGAAGGCGCCAAGCGCGATTGCAGCGCCCAATGCGCCGCATTGCTTGTTCGCGGCGGATTCCAATGCCGCCGCGCTGGTCTGGTGCACGCACGGCCTTCCTGAGGCCGAGGTGCAATCGCAGTCATGCTCGAATCTCTTCTCTGTGCCCACGCCATCCGCCCCCCCCCCCGCTAGCAATGTGTTCCCTTACAGCCGGTCCTTGTCATTCCTGGAAGCACATTACCTTCCTCAAAGTTCTTGTCGGCCGTCACTCCACGCTACAGCACGAGAGACGCGTCTTTTTCTGAACGGCAAGGAGCTCCTTGGCCAATCACGACTATTGTAATTCTGACAATAACGGCCATTCTCCATTCATGGGACTATAACGCAAGCGATCACGACTGTACTCTTCTAGCCCAGCCGCTGCGAAGCTCTACCAGCCGTTTTGCCCTTGGACGAGGGAGCGGTGGTGACATGTGATTCCTCTCCGTCACGGAGAACACGGTGCCATCATGGCGCAAGCCGGCAACGGCGGCGGTGGCGCAGGCGCGGAGGGCTGGTTGGCGAAGTGCGCGTTCCTGGCGGTGGACGGCAGAGAGGACTCCCCGCACGCGGGGGAGGGGGGGAATGCGGGGAAAAGGGGGGTGGGGGAGGAGGCGGAGCGGGGAGATGCGGGGACGAGGGGGGCGGGGAAGGAGGCGGAGCGAGGGCGGCGGAACACGGTGGAGGTGGTGGCGGCCCTCGCGCTCGTCACGCATTTGTCTGGCGGTGCGTCTCCGTTTTCATCCCCTTGCACCGCTCTGCAACCATGCACGTTTCTGCCGCTGTTGATGGGTTCCAACTTCCACCACCGCCATGCTTCACATACTTGTCGTTGTCGCGCCCCCATGCCACGCCTCCCTTCGCCCCAGGCAAGGCGCGCCACGGCGCGCAGGGGCAGGCAGCGCCATGGCAGCGCAAGCTGGCGCAACTCTTTCCGCCGCAGCACGCATTCCCTCTGGGCGGGCGAGTGGTGGTGGTGGTGCCAACGCGCGAGCAGCAGGTCGCGGCGGAGAGGGCGTGGCGCAGGCTGCAGCGGCAGCAGGGCGCGCAGGGGGGGGATGCAGCGGGGATGGGCGGGGCGGTGGAGGTGCAGGTGGTGGTGGCGGGGCTGTCGAGACTCCCCTCTGGGCTGCCTCCGTGCCCCTTGGCGCTCGTCACAGCCGTGTGTGCGCCGCCCTCTGCTGCGCCCACTGCCTCAGTGCCCTCCCTCTGGCAGCCCTGCAGGTGCGTCGCCCCTGTCCTATGCCTTTGCCACATGCCCCGTGCCCCATATCCCGTATCTCAATTCATCACCTGCCCCTACATGCCCATGCATGCCCCATGGTAACAGGATCCACGCTCTCCTCTCCGCCCCAGCGCCACTCATCCTCATCTTGGGCCACCACCCCACTCTCTCAGCTGGCAGCGACACGTGGCACCAAATCATTGGCCAGTTGAAGGCCCAGGGCAGGTTCTTGGATATGGAGCAGGGAGGGGGAGCGGTGGCGAGGGCGATAGCAGCGAGGCGGGCGGCAGTGGAGGAGATGCAGCGGATGGTGCAGGGCGCACGAGCTGCGGCTGCTGGAGCCAGCATGCGAGATGCCTCACCAGACGCCATGGGATGGCATGACCTGCTATGGACGGTGGGTTACTGCCTGCTATGCTACCTACCTAGCATGCCATGGGTGGTTGCGTGCCACCATGGGCTGTTTGGGGAGAGTGTATTGCCTTCATTTCATTCCCATGTGCGTTCTGATGTTCGCGTTAAAGCATCCCGTGTTCTCCCACCTGGCACAGTGTTCGCTAAGCCGTCCCCTCCCCCTCTCCCCTGACAGGGTCTCTTCTCGCCGTCATTCGGGGAGGCCCTGCAGCGCGCCGAGTCGGTGGAGGTGGTGCTGCGGCTCTGGCGAATCCTGCAGGGCCGGCATGGCGGGCGAGAGGGGCGAGACGGGCGAGACGGCAAGCCCGCCACCAGCTGGCTGCCGGCAGGTCCGGAGTGGGCGGAGGATGAGGTGCCTCGGCGGGTGTTGAACGCCATTGTGCATGTGGACGTGGTCGGCGACCTTTGTCTCATCTGGTCCACCGATGTGTGCCACGAGAGCCGCAAGCAGGCAAGCACAACTTCGGGTCGCATCGCCTGCATCCTCTTTCTTTCTTCCTCGTCCCCTTCATTGCCAAAGTTTGCCTGCTCCCTGTCTCTTCTCTTTCTTCATTGCTTCATTTCGTGTGTGTCATGCACAAAAGTTACTTGTGGAAAGAGGTTACTAGCCCTGCACAGGATGTCCATCACTCACGTTTCCTGCGCGTGCCACAAGCAGGTGGTGCGGCTGTGGACGTTGGAGGCAGAGGGGCGCGTGCAGCAGAGCGTGCAGCGCATTCATCGCCACCTGTGCTGCTACTCGCCGGCCTACCTGCACTACTGCGCGCTGCACCAGCACTGCCCCTCCTCGCCCCGCCTGCGCGTGCCGGCCCTCCTGCCTCACCGCAACATGCAGTGGTGGCGAACACCCTCTGGTGCGACTGATGCCGCTACCTCTTGAATTTTCCCCACCGATTCAACCCGTATTGCCCTTGTTTGTTCCTTTGCACTGATTGCACTCACCCTCTGCAATTTTCCGTTCATCCCTCTGTTCTTCTCTCACATTGCATCCACACCCCCACCCCCTCCTTCCCTTCCCTTCTCATCTCCACCTCACCCCACTCCGCTCTCCATCAGCAGACGTCAGCGCCACATCAGCGGGGGTCAGCGCCACATCAGCGGACGTAGTAACACCGCCCAAGTTCATCCCTCTGCAGCCCGCCGTGGCGCTGACGCTGCTGGCGCGGGGCGGCTCTACTCTCACAGCGTCGCTGGGCCACCTGCCGTTTGAGGTGAACGCAGAGGAGCGGGCTGCCATCCTCTGCCCATCCAGCCTCGTTGTGCACGGCCGCTCCGGTGAGGCACTCACTCACCTGCAGCCAGTAAGTGCCGGCTGAGCTGCAACCAGTCACTGCCTGGTGCTGTCGTTAGCACAACTCCTTCGCACCAGCCGTCATTCCCTCCGTCATGCTACCGCTACCACTCGCTCAGACTATGGAGCTGTACATAGAACTGATCGTATGCGCTCACTCCTTCTCAGTGCTCTCTCTTCCCCACTTCCCACTCTCGCCCCCTTCTCCCCCCCCCAGGCACGGGCAAGACGACGGTGATCATTCACAGGGCTCTGCGCCTGCACCGCCTCTCCTCCAGCCCTTGCAGTGCCTCCCCAGCCACCCACGGCGGCACTGGCATGTGGGGTACTGTCTCGGAGGACGGCTGGAGCATGGGGGAAGGTGGCGTGGTTGGTGGCGTGGGCGATGGTACGGGGGTGCTGCGGCAGGTGGTGGTGACACGGAGCCTGCAGCTGTGTGCGTCCATTCAAGCCGACATCAACCACGCGTCCCAGTGAGAACTAATGCCTCACACACCGTCACCCTGCTGCTTCGTCGCGGCCGCATGTTGTCGCCTTTCCTGCCCTTTGTGCTTTTGTGAATGGGTTTGGAGGGTTGAGAGGGTGGGAGTTGTTTAGTCTGTTGTTGAACTTGACGCTGCTGCGAGATTGCACTGAAATTCCCCCCTCTCTCACCCCCCAAGGTTGTTCTTTGTTGCCTGCCCAGATTTCTTGTAGCTACCCACCTAAGCTGTTTTCCAGCGTTTAAAATAAAAATCAAAGCGATCATAACTACAAAGCTGACGTTTCCTCTTCTGATTTCTTCTTTCTTCCCCTGCACCACCTTCTTTCCACTCTACTCGTATCCCCTTCACACCATGCATGCATCACCGTGCTGCCATACCTCTCCCGCCTCCCCCTTCTCTGCCGCCACCAGATCCCTCGCTGCACTCGACTCTGCTCACCTCGCCTCACCGCCCAGCGTGAAACTCCACAGCAGCACGGAGCAGCAGCAGGAGGTGCCACAGCATCCCGCCCCACAGCCCCCACCATTGCATGCCGCGGGCGGTAGCGCCAGCAGCGGCAGTGCTAGCAGCAGCAGCAGCAGCAGCACCGGCAGTGCGCGCAGGCATCACACGCTGCTGATGCGGGAGGACCTGGAGGCTTCTCTCATGGGCGCCTTGCCGTCATGCATTGCCGCCATCCCCCCCACTGCCTTTCCCCTCGCCCTCACGCTGTCTAAGATGTTGCGCCTGCTGGACGCCTCAGTCACCCGCCCCTTCCTCCGGGCTACGCGGCGGCAGCGCGTGAGAGAGGTGGCGCGGCGGCGTGTGGTGGTTGCCATTGAGATGAGCGTGCAGGGGGTGAGGGAGGCGTGGGAGCAGGAGGAGGGCGGCAGGGCGTGGGGCGGCCGCGTGGAGAAGGAGCGATGGGAGGCGAGGAGGATCGGTGAGGCTCGCGGATGGGGACGAGGAGGAGAAGGGGAGCACAGCAGGGGCAGGCAAAGGAAAGGGCGGTGGGGTGAATGGCAGTGGGAAACGGATGAGGAGGTTACTCCGGGGGAGGAGGGGCAGGAAGAGGAGGAGGAGGAAGTGGAGGTGGATTATGAGCGGTTCAGGCGACAGTACTGGCCGCACTTGGACCAGAGGGCGGTGAGGGGCGTGGCGGTGGATGCAGCGTTTGTGTGGCGCGAGATCACATCGCACATCAAGGGCAGCCTGCAGGCCCTGCAGCAGGGCCAGCAGGACAGCAGCAGCAGCAGCAGCAGCAGCAGCAGCAGCAGCAGCACGGGGCATGTGGTGGGGGAGGAGGAGTACGTGCGCGGCATGGTGGGCAGCAACGAGCGCACGAGCGCCATGGGCGAGCGGGACAGGCGCGCCGTGTACCGCCTCTTCCAGGCGTACGAGCGGCGCAAGCGGCAGCGCGGCGAGTATGACAGCGCTGACCTCGTGCTGCACCTGCACCGAGAGATTCGCCGCATGCAGCAGCGCAACGAGCCCTGGTGGTCCGTAGACGACGCTCTCCCCGCCCCGCCGTGGGCCGTCTCGGGAAGCACCACCACCGGCACCGGGTGCCACCGCACTCCACCTCCCAGCACACCTGGTGCATCGTGGTCGGCGTCATTCAGCCGTCCTTGTGCTCCGGTGTTCCACTGTGTATCGGTGGACGAGGTGCAGGACCTCACTCAGGCGCAGCTCGCACTGCTGCCTCTGCTGTGTGGCAACGTGGCCTCGGGGTTTGTTCTGGCGGGGGACACGGCGCAGAGCATCGCTCATGGGGTGGACTTCCGCTTTGAGGACCTTGCCCGGGTGGTGTATAGCGAGTTCCTGCATAGAGGGGATGAATGCGGCAAGGTCGGTGGATGGAGGGGCGGCTACGGAGGCAGCAAGGCTGGCCGTGAGAGGAGTAGCAAGATGAAGAGTGAGAGCATGGAGGCTGGCAGCAGCAGCACCAGCAGCAGCAGCAGCAGGTCAGAACCGGAGGCGTGCATGAAGGCGCTGCCGACGTTCCAGCTGGTGCGCAACTACCGCACGCACCGCGGCATCATCCGCGTGGCCACCTCCGTGGTGCGCCTGCTGAAAGCTTTCTTCCCCGCCGCCATCGACCGCCTGCACGCCGAGACCAGCGTCGTGGACGGGGCTGTGCCTGTGATGGCCTCTGTACCGCCTGAATGGAAGATGCAGCTCGCCCAGGGCATGCCGCTCAGCGCCACACAGGTAAGCCGCTCACTGCACAGACGTGGTTCCCTTCGCAATTGATGGTGAACACTGTTATGGCGAATTCTTTCCTGCAATGCACTCCTGTTGAGGAGCCAGCAACAACAGCCACAAGAGGAATCAGCCCTGGCGGTACGACTTGCACCCTTCTCCGTCTCTCTGTTCTAATCCCTTCCCATGCGTACGCCTCCTTGTGCTTCCCTCAGGCCATCATAGTGCGCAGCGGTGAGGAGAAGCGCCGCCTCTTGGCGCTGTTTGCAGCAAAGCCGGTGGTGCTGACGGTGGAGGAGTGCAAAGGGCTCGAGTTCCAGGTGGGCACATGCCATGCTGCTGGGTGTGTGACTGATTGACCTTTGTGCCATGCTGCATGCTGAAGTGCCGGGTGCTAATGGTGATTGAGTGGTGGAGGAGAGGCAGTGCTCGCAAAGAATCGAGCTACGGATGTCGAGGCATCTGCTTCTTTCTGGATTGTGTTGCATCACCATGCGTGCGTGTCGCATCAACTTGCATGCATGTCTCCACCGTTGCACCCACAGCTGCTTCTTCTTCTTCTCCACCACACACCATCGTGTCCACTCACCCTGTCCTCTCTACCTCTCCCCTTGTCCAATGCACAGGATGTGATTCTTTTCAACTTCTTCGCCTCGCCGCATTCCACCACCCCATGGGCACTCATCTACACATACATGCGCGATGCTGGCCTGTCACCTGCCGGTCTCTCCCGCTGCACCTGTGATGCCAGCAGCCGCAGCGTCAATAACAGCTGTGTCTGTGGGAAGGGTCAGCAGCAGCTGCTTCAATTCGACGACCTCAAGTGAGTCTCGGGCTGGCTGCTATTGCTGCTGCCAATGCTGCACGCAGATTGAGCTGTGCTAACGGTTTCTATATGCTCTGCTCTGTGCAACTCTGTGTGCGCTCGCCCCTTGCCGTGCAGGCACTGCGCGCTATGTGTGGAGCTGAAGCAGCTGTATGTGGCGGTGACGCGCGCCAAGCAGAGGCTGTGGGTGCTGGACGAGGAGGGTACGGACACTCCAGGCCACGGCCACGGCCATGGTGAAGGTGGCAACCGCAGCAGGGCGTGGGGGGGCGTGCGCAGCAGTGCGCCCATGAGGGAGCTGTGGCATGCCCTGGGTGTGGCGGCGGTGCGGCGGGGCAGCGAGGTGACGCCAGAGTCGGTGAAGCGCGAGCCAGATGACGACGACTGGCACTCCCTTGCCTTCACTGTCAGTGCCCTCTGCCCTGCGCCCCGGCCCCTCTGGCCTCTCCACCTTCTCTGGTATCTTCTCTTGTTTCGTGCAATCTGGCCTGGCTTACCTGATCTTCTGCATCCTTACATTACTAGCCCACCCTGTACTCATTGACCTTGGTTGGCTTTGTTTCTCAACCGTCCATCTCCGCAATTTGCAGTTCTTCCAGAGGGGCGATTACGAGGCAGCGCAGACGAGCTACGAGCGAGCGGGCGACACGGACAGTGCGCGATTTGCCCACGCCATGCTGCTCTATGACACTGCTCTGGCCCGCATGCAGCCACACGCTGCCATGCCCTCCATGTCGCCCACCTCACAGCCCGCACCTGAGCCTCTGTTCCCGCCAGCTGTGCCGCCAGCTGTGCCGCCAGCTGTGCCGCCAGCTGTGCCGCCAGTTGTGCTGCCAGCTGTGCCGCCCACCCTATCCCAGCGCAGCCCCCCTGAGCTGCTGCTGGAGGCAGCTCGAACATTTGAGGAGATTGGGCGGAACGCAGAGGCAGGGCGGGCGTACATGAAGGCGAGGAATTATGTGGAGGCAGGTATGAGATGGTGGGAGAGTGGGAGGGCTTCTTATTGGGATGGATCTGTGGAATAGTGTTTGGGGAAGCGTTGTGCGGGTGGGCTTTTTGTAAGTGTGGGAGTGTAGCACACGTGTACTCATGCTCGTGCCCACTTTTGAGTCGACTCACAAGTCAGCTCTTCATCGCTTGCGGTTCTCTTCTCCCTCCCCCATGTGCCCGCCCTGCCAGTGCGAGTGTACCTGCATGCATGACGGCCGCCGAAGCACATCGACGCTGCGCGCTGCTACGAGAAGCTGGGGCGGTTCACAGAAGCGTCTGATTGCTACAGTGCCGGCGGCGACATGCACAGCGCTCTCCTCGTGTGCTTGCGAGCTCGCCTCTTCCACAAGGGCCTATCCCTTCTCGACACCTGGCAGCAGCAGCTGCCTGCATCCACGTCAGCAGCAGCAGCAGTGCAGGAAGCGCAGCGGGTGGAGCAGCTGAGGGGTTGGTACGTGGTGGAGTGTGCGCGGTGGCATGAGAGTCAGCGCGAGTACGACCGCGTGCTCTCTTTCCTCCGCCTGCATCGATGCCTGCCCACCAAACGGGCCTTCCTGGAGGCAGGGCGGCATCTGAGGCAACTGGCGGCGCTAGAAGACGAGCAGGGCGACCGCAGCCGCGTGCCGGGGCTGCTGGAGAGAGCAGGCGCGCTGCTAGAGGCGGCGCAGTACTTGTGGCAGCTGGGCTCGCGTGGGCGCGCTCTCGTGTGCTTCGTGCGCCACTTGCACTGCCGCATGAACGCCGCCGGGAGAGGGGCGTTGCGGGTGTGGATGAGGAAACGGGCAGGGGAGGGGGAGAGGTGTGGGGGAGGCATTGAGCTGAGCGCAGAGGAGGCTGAGATGGCGGGGAGGCTGTGGGGTGTGGAGCGGTGGGGCTTTGTCGAGAGGGACGCGTGTGGGGCGAGCGACCTGGCGTGGGCGAGGGTAGAGATGAGCGTGCTGCTGCTGGTGCTGGCACATGATGTTCATATTGACCCAGACGACTCTCACGTTGCAAGGGTGGATACTGATGAAGCTGCTGGTGCGGCTGCTGCTGCTGTGAGAGGGGACGATGGTGATGGCTGCCAGGGAGAAGTGGGTGCGAGGCTGGGTGGTGGAGAGGGGGCGGCAGTGCAGTGCGAGGCGGGTGGTGAGGCAGCGGCGGTGAGGGATGTGGAGTTGGAGGCGCGATTGTCCCGCGCATGGATGGCTGTCAGGCAGGGCCACGCCGTTCCAGCAGAGCTTGTAGGGAAGTGCACGGGCGCGGCTGGTGCAGAGGCAGGGAGTGGCGACGGTGGAGGGGGTCGAGGTGGAGAGGGCGGGCGAGATGGGGCGATTGGGGGGAGTCAAGTGTGGTGGGTGGCAGTGCGCGTGGGGGAGGAGGAGCTGCGGGAGGCAAAGGAGTTGTGGAAGGGTGGGGATGTGATGAGAAAGGGGCGAGAGCAGATGGAGAGGGAGAAGCGAGGCATGGCAGGAGGGTTGGGTGTGGAGCAGGTGGGGAATGAGTGGAAGGGGGTAGAGCAGGTGCGAGCAGAGCTGGTGCTGGCGTCTGCAGGTGTGCAGGTATGTATGCGCATGCTGCAATGCGCCCAGGACCGCCTCTCTGCATGGCTGGCTCACTTCCGCTCTACCCTGTCCTCCTCCTCGCACCACTTCTGCTCTCCTCCGCCTGCAACGCCAGCCGCTGCTGCTCCTGCAGCACCCTCTGCGACTCCCTCTGCTGCCAGTACTGCCAGTGCTGCAAGGGTAATCCCAGCGCCAGAACAGGCAGCAGCGGCGCTGCAGGCGGGTCATGAGACATGCATGCCCTCTCCGCCGCCCATCGGCCCTCTCCAACACAAGGCAGCTCTCTGGTTCTACCGCTGGCTGTCCCGCCTCTCCGCCCTGCTCTCTGCTCTGCACCACCTGCACCGCCACGCCATGCCCGTGGGTGATTCCCACCTGCCCCGCCTGCACGCCGCCTTCTCCCTGCTCTCCTGCTCCTTCCAGCGCCACCAGCTCGCCGCGTGCTGCCAGGTGGACGAAATGGCTCTGCCGTGGGTGCCAAGGGCAAGGGGGGAGGTGCAGAGAGTGGCGAGCACTGGGACGAGTGGGGAGATGAAGGGGGGGTTGGCTGTGGCGATGGTGGAGAGTGCGTGGGAGAGGGAGTATGAGACGAGGTGGAGGGGAGCACAGCAGGTGGCGCGCACTGGAGGTGTCGATTGCTCTTCTAGCCTGCTCTCTTGTCTGCAGGAGGTATGTGTGTGGGCACATGCTCTATTTGGTGCGTGCGAGCTGGCTGTGGCTTGTGTGTTTGACAAACACTCTATGCAACCCTAGTATTGTCACTGCGTGTCCTCTCCTCCTGACCCAGTTGCCTGTTCATCCCACAACACACTGTCTAACATGCATTCACCAACCAACTCTGTAATGCTGTGTGCTCTTTGTATGCCGTGCAGGTTCTGCGTGCTTCCACTCTCAACGACTCAACCCGTGACCCTGCAGTGCCCAGGCCCTCAGTCGCACATGCACCACCCTACCCACATGCTGCCCTCCTCACCTTCCTACCCCTCATTGACCATTCCCTCTCACTCCTCCCTGTCCCCCTGCTCTCCTGCTCCCGTCCCGCCATCCTCCCACTCCACGCTGCCACCCCTCTTCACCACCTCTTCACCTCTCTCCTTCTCCACCCATTGCCTGCCAACCGTGCGTCCCCCCCTACCCACACTTGCCAAAAGCCTGCCCGCCCGTCTTGGCCACGCCACATGTGCCACTCTCTGCTGCACCCCACCTTTGCCGCGCTGCTGCTCCACGAGCTGCCTGCACAGGGAGGGTTGGTCAGAGGCTGTGACAGCAGCAAGGCAGGTGGTAGTAGGCAGAAGCATGGCTGGGGAGCTGGGGACGTGGGTGGGGAGGAGGGGAGAGGCAGTGGCTTACGTGAGGGAGGAGGGATTCATGGGTCGTTGGCTTTTGGAAGAACAGTGCAAGCAGCAGCAGATGCACCTGTGCCTGTTGGCCAGTCATGCTGGCAGGGAGATGTGAGTATGACATAGGAGGACTCATGGGGACTCACGCTGATGTTCCTCACATGCATGCTCAATCCGCACCCCTATAGCAGCGGCTCAGCGGACAGTGACAGGGACGGGGGGCCGCAGGAGCTACAGGCGGGCATGCATGAGGCGTGCTCGCGGGGCAACCCTCTCATGGCCCCCTCCATTGCCGGGTTCATTCACGCCCTCTCTGCCCGCGCCTTGCTGCACCAGGCGTCGCCCCTCCCCAGCGTGCATGGGGATTGTGGAAGACTGCTCCACTTCGCCTGGAAGTCCTCCCTGCTGCCAATTTCCCCGTCGCTTCCTTCTATTCCCGCCATCCCGCTGCTCCCCCACCCTCCTGCTGCCATCTTCAACCTCCCACCCGCCCTTGCTAGCTTGCTGTTTGAGTTGCTGCGTCACCTGCTGCCCACCTTGCATGCCATGGGGGCAAGGGGAGAGGCGCCGTTTGGACCTGGCAGGACGGGGAGAAGCGAAAGTGAGGGAGGCAATGCATGGATGGGAGCTGATGCGTGCTTTTGAGGAATTCGGAATGGGCATGGTTGAGGTGGCACCATCGAGATTTCAGGCTTTCTGGAAGCGGTTTGTGCATACCATTGGGCGGTCAGACAAAAATAGGTCAGTGAAGTTTGTGTAACGGCATTGGGCGATGGTATGGGATGGGGCGAAGGATTGCGTTGAATTGTGTGGATGGTATGGGAATGTGTGTTGTTGATCCCATGGGATGGTGTCTGTGATGTCAGTAATAAGGGATGAATTTGGCTGTATGATGGTATGGGATTGTGTATGGGATTGAGATGGCATGAAGTGAACTGTGTGATAGGATGGGATGTTGTGTGAGAGTAAGACGGAATGAAATGTTCTGTGTGATGGTAGGATGGTGTGTTGGAGTGATATGTTATGAAAACGGCTGTGTGATGGCATGAAATAGCATGGTGAGTGTAATGAGATTGCATGAAATGGGCAATACGATTGCCATAAAATCGGCCATGTGATGGTATGGGATGTTGTGTGAGTGAGATGACAGTAAATGGGCTGTGCGATGGCATGGGAGGGTGTGAGATGGCATGAAATTGACTGTGAAGGGATGGGAATGTGTGTGTGCTGTTGTCAGAGTTATGAAATAAATAAAGGAAACAACAGCTGGTTGCAATCTCATCCATGGAGCTTCAGGCGCACTTCAGTCTCACTTCACTCCAGCCAGCCATGATAAATGACAGCCCATATGTTATGGGATGGGATAGTGCCAGTGATGGTGGCATGGGAAGGTGTGTCTGATCGCATGGATGGTGGTGTGATTGGGTTGGCGGTGGGTCTGATACGGTATTGAGTTCTGGTAGGATGGGATGGTGCTTGTGATGACACGGAATAAGTAGTGTTTTTGTTTGCATTGGAAATTATGCCGACCATAGCGTAATCACTCAGAGCAACGCAATCATTTTTTATGCTCAAGTAGTTGATGTGTTGTTATTCACTGTACATTTAGGCCAAGGGTACAGCATGAATAACAAATGTCAAGACTGAATAAATAACTTGACTGCCATATAAACATTGACTGTCAAGACTCGTTCCAATCAATCACCCTGGTTTCCAGATAATCATACTAATTCTTATTAAAAAAGATTTGCAATGTTTGATTATTGTGATTATTGTTGTTGTATCTTAAGTTTTGGGCAGTAGGAACTGTTCCCTCGACCGTCTTACAAAAGTACCTCAATAAGGTGAATATATTCAGCTCAACCTTCTTACCCCTCCCTTCCTCGGCAGTCCCAATGACTTCAAGCTGGGCTGGAGCCAGCCAATACCCAAGTTCATCCTCCAGCAGCGGCGGATCTGTCGCCCAGATCCGTCGCATAGCACTCGTTCAGCACGTGACGAAAGCTCCACAGGCTCGCCAGTAGTAACAGTCGCAGTAACACTCGATAGTAACAATCATGGTAACATTCGCAGATAACCATATTCGCATTAGTAGACAGCTTTGTGACGAAAAGGTGGCGCCAACAAAATGAGGCGTTTCGACTACGCACGAAACTGAATCCCAAAGCATCGTCCGTTCGCCAGATCCGTCGCGTGCGGCAGTGCTATGGCCTTGCGAAATGTTCCGCCTTCGTTGACTGGTCCGTTGGTTTCAAAAAGTTGGCGGGAATGTAGCTCAGGCGCCTCGAGGAAGCACGAATCTGGAACCCCAATCGAAGCCGCCTCGAGAATGGCTGCGACGAACCTTCTCTGTTATTTCGAACCACTCTGAAAGCATCTGACGTGGCGTGCAGCGCACCAACCAGCGAGACAGGTCGAGGGTGAAACTCCAATGGACAGGCAGAGGCGTGGAGACGAGGGTTTGAGCGGAAGGAACAGAAAAGGGGTCGCCAGGGTTCCAACTTTTCATTCGAACATCCTCATCTCCTGCTCTGCTTCTTGCTCTTGGGATTTCCGGATTTGCTTGTCCAGTACCCCTGGTCGTTCTCTGCTGAAACCTCAACAGTCACAGCTTTCAGATTTTGTTGCTATCCTCGTACCAAGCTTCTGTGAAGCGATCTGCTTTCTAGTACCATGGACTGCTGCTGCCTCGTTAGCAACGGAATGGCGAAGACCTTCAACTCAGGTTCTTCAACCTCAAGTCCTGCCATGCCTACCCGAGGCATTGGCAGGTTCGGCACTCCGCGAACAGTGTTCTCGCCTGCAGCGTCATACTCTCCGATGAAGCCTGCCGTTGACAAGATGGCTGAGCTGCAACTTCCTGCTGCTGCTTGCAACGACGACGGTGAGACGTTCTGCAGCAGCGTGCTTCTGAAGAGCGTGAGGCCGCTGCTGGAGAAACTGGCCTCCCGAGGCGTCGCTGACGGGCAACACGAGCTCGCGAAGGTGCCCATTGTACCTGACGCGCCTGATGTGAAGCGGCCTGGAATCGGCCGCTTCTGAGGCAAGCCTGCTGCTGCCGTGGTTGTCACAGCTGCTCCCTCACCATCTGCTGCTGCTGCAGTCACTCCATCTGCTGTGGTTGCGGCTGTTGTGGTGCCTGAGGTAGCGCTTGGGGCTCCAATGGCTTCAACCACACCACAGGTGCCTGAAGCGAGTGTGGTCACAGAAACAACATCCGAGGAGGCGAGTGCACGTGCTGCTGATCCGAGTGAGAAAGTGTGGTGGTCGAAGCTGCGTCAGGAGGTTAGAACTATGGACATTGCACTGACACGTGCTGCCTACCTGAGGTGGAACAAGCTGAGCAAGGAGCCATCATGGGCCATGGAGATTGAGGCCGCCATTGAAGCGGCTCTGCGTCCCTGCTTCTTGCCCAAACATCCTGATGCTGTGGCGAATCTGACTCGCAATACCGTCCCCCCTACATCTGCAGCAGCAGCGACTGTAGCAGTGTCCGCAGCACCAGCTGCTTCCTCGCCGGCAGCTAAAACAACAGTGCAATTACCTGCTGCACCATCACCAGTGAGAGGAGCAGCAGCAGCAGCACAGAAGCCAAAGGTTGCTGTTGCAGCAAGGTGCAAGGTGGGTGTTGAAAGCGCGAAAGGCAAGTATGGGTGCAGCAGCAAGGTGGTGACCATGGGTGTGAAGGGTGGTAAGGGCAACATCACGCATGCAAGCTCTGCGCCATGTGCAGCTGCAGCAGCAGTTGCGGGATCACGTGGTGGTGCATCATTAGTGAGAGCAGCTAACAATGCCAGAAGCAGACAAGCGGGTGGGGTGAAGAGGAGAGAGGAGGGTGGGTGTGGGGAGGGAGCAGCAGGGAGGCGAGCAGGTGGAAAGCAGGGTCGCGTGAAGGCAGCAGGTGGCAGAGCAGTGGCAAGTGGCGTGTGTGGCAGGGAGGGGGTGAAGCAGCAGGCGGGAAGAAGAGAGGGTTTGGTTGAAGAGAGGCAGGAGAGGCCAGGCTGCAGCAGCAGCAGGGCGCACAGAAGGAGCTCCTGAAAGAGCCCTCAACTCCCAGCTGCTGTTGGGAGCATATACTGTACATGCATAGATTACAACACTGAATGGTGTGCTGGAACAACAGTGACACCATCTGTAGAAGTTCCAGCTGCTTTTAGGAACATGATGATTTGTAGGCAGTGATGTGTGCACTGTAATGTGTACTCTGTATATTATCAGGATATGCTGCTTTAGTTTCTTGCTAGGGCAGGATCTTTACTGTAGCATTTTTTTCTGACTGTATTTCTCCTTTTTTGTGCTTCATCTGGATGGAATGGTTATCAAATGAACTTGAATGATTGCCTGATACATATTTCAGAGGATTGCCACAATGAAGCCAATTTGATTTGGAATAGCTTATGGTGAGGTTCACTCATAAAATGTCCCAAACTAGAGGTGATTCTTCAACTTAGACTTGGTGGCCTTGCTGTTGCTGCTATTTGTTGATGGCTGTAGGTTACTAATGGTGGAACATGTTAGCAAAAGGCTAGAACAATGAGCACTGCCCTGCAACCAGGCCCTCAGATTGGTTTCAGGGTATGCTGATCGATCAGTGGGCAGTGTCCAAAGTGGTGTCCAAATCAGCGTTGGGGGTTAAACTCTCAGAATCCCAACCACTAGACCATTGGGATAAAAGGGTTTGTTAAGTAGCGGGTCAGTGCGCCCATAACCCCCCAGGACAACGAGCCTGTAACCCTTCCCTAGGATCAATCGGGGATCACCAGTGGACCTCTGACACCCCCCGCACTGGGATGCCCGAAGTGCACACACTGGGATTCGAACCCGAGACCTTCGCTCTGATACCATCTCAGAATCCCAACCACTAGACCATTGGGCAGGGCCTCAGAAGTCAGAGAAAAAAGGCTGAATTAGGGCCTGGAGGCTGATTTCACAGCCATGTGGAAGATGTGTTGGCTGATAAGTCAGATTTTTTTTTTTACTAGTTGGCTGATTTTTCAGGATTTTTTTTTAAGCAGTGGCTGTTTTTCCAGCGTTTTTTTACAAGTGTTGTCTGATTGATCAGACTTGTAACGCGAGTGTAGTCTGAATTCACGCTAGTACAGATTCTTGCTGGAGCCGTGAGATTCGGAGGTCCAGGTACATCCACTGTCAACCACGCAAATGTTGCCATGTACAGCGCCGGCGCGGCGGGAAAACGAATTTTCCCGTCGTGTCGGTTGCTTCGTTGTCACCGACAGAATGCTGTAATTGACGTGATTGGTTGTTTAAGCAATCACATCCCTTATGCCCCAATCACCCCCCACCAGTGCAGCACAGCAACGCACCGCACTCACTCACGACAAGGACACCCACCTCACCCCATCTCACCCACCCCGAACCATCATCCAAGTGCGTGCATGGTGCCCCCACGTCGCGCCGCGTTGCAGTTGGGTGGTGAGAAGGGGAGGGCCTTCTTTTTTGGCTCACTCTTGTTGACCACACCGTACCCACCCACCTGGCGAGCTGCACTGTCAATCCCCGCCTCTCGCCATTCGTTTCTCAAACCCTAGCTAGCAACGTTGGAGCTCGGCACGCTCTCCCCTTTCAGCCATGGCCGGCCTTGCAGAAGGCCTAGACTGCGATGATGACGCAGGCATTGATAGCTC